CCCCTCCTCCCCCTAGAGCATCGAAATGTATACGCCCCTGCGCGCAGTTATCGACAATTTATGAACAAGTCTAAAATCATTGACAGACAATATAAATATTTTATTATTAAAACTATTTGAGTCATTCTGTAATAAATATCCACGAGTACTATTACAGGGCAACCTGATACCTTATCTATGTTCCTGCATACAACTATTATCATTTTATGCATCTCGTATAACCAAAGATTAACATTATCGTCCACTCACCCTGTAAAAGTATATATAGGACATAGGTACTAGTTGGGTGTCCGCTACGCCGGTCACCCTATTTGACCTATAACCTTATGTTTCAATAAATAGTTAAGTGTAAAATCTAGCGTTGAATAGACCTGGCTTAAACCTTAGATAGAGAAGACAGGAATACAGTGCGTTTACTGTAATTAAGATTGATTCGGAAAGACTGGCATTTTGTGACAACTCTTAGATGTTTTTGTAAGTTTTCTATCTTCATTCAATTTAGAAATTACCATTTTATTTTATTTTTTATATTATTTCTTATATTATATTCATCTTTATTCAATTTGAATAAACATAAATTGATCTATTCACCAATGATTTTTTTAATAAGTTTAATCAGTGCTTAGGATCCATTTAATTTCGATGCGGATCCGGATCCTGGATCCGCACTGGAAAAAAATGGATCCGGATCCGGATCCAGGTCATTTCTATAAGATTTACTGAATCTTTTTAACAAAATTTTTTTTTTTAATTTTTTGATTTATTTTTTTTCGCATATTTTTATCCTAAAACTTGAACCATTCAGAAATGAGGAAATTGTTATAATCTCTTTTTTTCTTCAAAAGTTCCGATTTTGGTTTTAGAAGTAAAAAAGGTTTTCTTGCAGTTTTTGGTTGATATTTTACCCATTGGATCCGGATATGTGGATCCGCATATTTTTGCGGATCCGGATCCAGGAAGCCAAAATCTTGCGGATCCGGATGCTAAGCACTGAATTTAATGTATACAGTTTTTTCAGCTCCCGTGGTGAAGTGATTACAGTACACATATTTGACGCAAAAAAAAGTTGATCTCCAATGGTGCAGAACACATGTAGGTCGCTATAGTTTTGATCTCCAATATTGCTATACTAAATACTTGACGCGAAAGCTTTGCACTCCACTCATTACACATCTGATACGCAATGCTCATTGCTAAAGTACACAAATTTTATTAAGATTTTCTGAATTTTCTCAAATTTGATTAGTATTTGATGGTAATTTATGCGGACAGCATTCATTTGTGAAAATATTGATTTCAAATTATTTTCTTCTTCACGGACCGTAGAATTTTTGTCCTTTAATATTAAAACCTTTTTACTTTTTAATAACAATTTCCGGATTTAAAAACAAAACTTGGACCACTACAATATATAACAATATTATTTTAATAACAAGTTAATTTTCACATGTTAAAAAATTGTAAAGATAAAATAACAATTCATGTTTAGATCTAGTAGAATAATTAGAATATACTTGTCTTGTATTTAATTTTATGATCTTGTGGAAACATTAAGGTTTTATAACTTGTAAAGAGATACATTAAACCCAGGAGAAGGTTCACGTCAAACAATAATAAATCTACGGAAAGAAAAACAAGTATTAAGATAGAGAATGACATCTAACCAACCACTTGCGTTGAAAAATCCACAAGTCGTTAGTGCTTGGGAAAATAATAATCGCTAATTGATCTGTAATTTCATGTTGATTTCATGGAGGATTAGAAACTTCAAGGGGCTGTACAGATAATTTCAATTGACCCTGAATTTGTAGACTGGCAGGCCAAATTCACAACGGTTCCCTTTAAATCTTTTGTCTGATTAAAAATAAATGATATGAACTCATTATTTTTAAACTATAAATAGATATTTTTAGTTGGTGGATTTATGATCTGCGGAGACAAAAAAGAAAACTGTGAAAATTCTAGAAAATAGAAAACGGACTTTATCATCCTCATAGTGTAAAGGGTAACGTTGTGAATCGAATAAGTCACTTCATAAATTTAGAGTCTATTGAAAAAACGTATGTAGTCCTTTCGTTGTTTCTTTTTATATAAATTATAATTTTCCTGCGGCAGCATCAAACCCTGGTCTCTTCATAATATGCAGTTCTCCAAATATATCAGATTGATTTACATCAACCGCCATCACCTTCAAAATATTTTAATGTAAATTTTTTTTTATTTTGGCATTCTTTTTTTAGTGAATAATAATCAAAATGTTCGAAAAACAGAGATAAAAATGTCTGACAATGTAAAAATGCAACCATGATAAAGAGATTATTTTGGGACATCCTACGTTTATATTTTAACATACAATACATTACGCTGTTGGCGTAGAATGTTAATTTTCATAATTGTAAACAAACACATAAGCTTTGTTTACATAACACTACAGAGATAGCCATAATAATGTAGAATAGGAAGACGACATACAACTTACAACCAATACCGAATTACGCATTTGATGTTGTTAAAAAGTTGAGTGAATTGGGTCTGTTTACACTGCACAATTGCAGTGCCTCATGTTCATTAGACTATTTACAGTCATAACTTAAGTTTAAAAGTCGACATTCTATTCAAGAGTTTTCTGGTTATCTCTGTAGTTCTAGTGCAGATTTCACAGCGAATGAAACCTTATTCCTGTTCTTCACTCTTTTAGTTAATTATAAAAGCTCTTTGTCTCAACTTTCGTTCAAAACATGAAGTATCCATTAACACCTTTATATTCTAATCAAACCATAGTAAAAACTACCTTCTGTAGAACCAGAAGAGAATAGAACTTCTGCGCAGCTTGTTTCCTGTTATTACGTTTGAGAAGGTTGGTCAGCTTTATATTGTTAGATTCATCCCATCTCTTACTCAGGTTTCTGAACAGTTATAAATTGGTGACCTTGATTTTTTAATCAGACAACAGTTGATTGGTTGTCATCTTCGTTCTTACTTTAAACTGATTAATAAGCTCTATGAAACTATTTCAAATTAAAAATAACAATATGACATTTCATACTGAAAAAAGAGAATCAAGAAAACATTCCATAGTCCACTGTTTTCTCATTACCACTGTAGGCCACCCATTTTTGGTTGATTTTAACTAAATAAATATTTTCAATATAGAAATTATATTTAATCATAATATTTACAGATCAACTAGGTGTTCTATTCTTTATACAGGGTGTCCCACGAAACATGACAATAGGAAGACGACTTGAAAGTCGTCTTTATTATTTGAATTTATTTGTGACATTTAGTCTTCTATCTACTTTAACATGTATGATTCTTGAAACAATTATCACATAATTCTCCTAGCCCTGGCATTTCCAAAAAGTGGTCTGCGTTTTTTGTGCTTTCAATATTACCGGAGATATAAAGAGTTTGGTTCAGNATTCGATTCGATTCGATTCGATTCGATTCGATTCGATTCGATTCGATTCGATTCGACTCGACTCGACTCGATTCGATTCGATTCGATTCGATTCGATTCGATTGAATTCTCAATTATTATTCATTATAAACCATTCTTCATTCATCCTTCTCATCCATAGTACATATATGTGTAACAACTGTGTGTTTGAACCTGTAGCTGTTGCAGTAGCTGCCTGAGAAACCCATTGATCTGTGAAATCTGCCTGAGGTAGAGCTGTGGGAGGAGTAGGGTAGGGTTCCTAAACAAATAAACAAATTAAAGGAGGGATAGGAGGAGTAGGGTAGGGTTCCTAAACAAATAAACAAATTAAAGGAGGTATAGGAGGAGTAGGGTAGGGTTCCTAGACATATAAACAAATTAAAGGAGGTATAGGAGGAGTAGGGTAGGGTTCCTAGACATATAAACAAATTAAAGGAGGTATAGGAGGAGTAGGGTAGGGTTCCTAAACAAATAAACAAATTAAAGGAGGTATAGGAGGATAGGGTAGGGTTCCTAGAAATATAAACAAATTAAAGGAGGTATAGATGTAGGTAGGGTTCGTTGACAAATAAACAAATTAAAGGTTTAGGAGTAGACAAATAAACAAATAAAAAGGGGTTGCTTCCCTACAGGAACACTGCACCAAGTCATGGTAGGGATATAAATGTACTTGATAAAAAAATCCATTTTTTCCATAAATTTTCTTATTATTTCCTTTATGTACCTGGTAGGATGGATCATGTACAGGTGTCGTGTAGTTATGTACAGGTGTACCGGGAGGATAAAGCGGTGTAGTGTAGTTATGTACCGGTGTACCGGGCGGGTACACAGGTCTACCTTGTCGCTCTTCAGATCCATACTCGGGGCTACCGAACCCGTTATCCTACAAAAATATGAAAATTTGAAATACAATATCCTTCCACTATATAATAAATAAATTCCTTATCCAATATACAGGATCGACAACACGATATTTACAACACAATAGAAAAGTCGGTGGATATGATATGATACCATAATATAATTTGTTTAAATTATTTTTCTCCATGGGTACCAATAAGATAACCAAAATTTGTGAACGGTCCCTTTAAAAGTTATGATCCCCTGCCTGTGGTGGGGAGTGTAGAGGAGTATGATCAGGAGGAGGTATTCCTCCAGGAGTCTGTAGAACACTATTAGTAGTTTCCAGCTGGGGATCTTCACCCTCCGAGGCCGCAGAAGCAACTGACGGAGCAACTGCTGCCACTGCTTCAGCTTGAGCTTTTTCCTGTAATCTAATAAAACAAATATGAAAAAATATCTTTAATTCTTTAAAAATATCAATGATTCCCCTTTCTATGACCGTCTCTCACAAGAACTTTGTAAAGTATATTACTTGCAGATGCAGAATGGAGGAAAAGCTTGAATTTATATCTGGAAGCATGGATGAAAAAGTGCAGAATGGAGGAAAAGCATGAATTTACATCTGCAAGCATGGATGAAAAAGTACAGAATGGAGGAAAAGCATGAATTTATATCTGGAAGCAAGGATGAAAAAGTGCAGAATGGAGGAAAAGCATGAATTTATATCTGGAAGCATGGATGAAAAAGTACAGAATGGAGGAAAAGCATGAATTTATATCTGGAAGCAAGGATGAAAAACGTGCAGAATGGAGGAAAAGCATGGATTTATGAATGGAAGAATAGTTGAAAATATTGATGAATGAGTAGATGTATTATTAGAAGCATGGATGAGAACAAATATAAACGAAAGCATAAAACGTATTATAAAAGAAAACGTAGATCATAAATTAAAAGTTTGAATTGGTTTAAAAAGAAAACAAATTGAGTTTGAATGAACTGTCAGACTAATACTGTGAAGATATCCAACCAAGTTACTAAAGTTTTCTTTAAAGATAAAGTCAGAATTCTAATCCGTATATGGAGAAATTCCAGGTTAAAGTATAAGAAGCAAAGGAAATTCTAAGACAGATCAGAAAGGAACCACATACACGTTCAAACCACTATAAAATCAAATTAAAAGCTTTAAAGATCCCACAAAAAAAAAGACCCCCCCCCCCCTTCATTAGGCAAATAAGGATGGAGATTTTAGCAAATTTTTTCTTATAATTTTATCCTCAGGAACATCTGTGAGCGGTAAGACGGACAAAGTTGTGTTCAAAATAGAAAATGGGTATATTTTGAACTGGGTGAACAATCCCTTAAATGATCAATTTTCTATTTTTTGCTTGTCTGTTTGTTGGTTTGTTTATGTCCAATAAACGTCAAAACGGTTGAACCGATCAGGCCCACATTTTTTGTGGCACCTCGCGGGACCCAAGAGGGAAAAGTTAAGAATGATCAAAATTAAAAAATTTCGTGTTTAAAAGTTTTCTATTTTCGTAAATTTTGAATTTTTTTTGAAAATCCGCGATTTGTTTTCTGAAATCCACAAACTTTTTTTTTACAATGTACACAAAGAGGACATGTTCAAAAATGAAATAGAAGATTGGCGCGAAACGCCCTAAAAGCCTAGTTATCTATATATCTACCTCATCTCCCTTCTCTCCCTCTCCTCCCTCGCACTCTCTTCCTGTGCTCGAATCAGTTCCTCCTGATATAAAAATCATGAAATTCAAAAAAGAATTAAATATTGTAAGATCCAAAAACACTTATTTATTACTATCCTGTGAACAAAATGTGTACTCATAAATCTTAACCAGGGGCCGAATTTGAAGAATTTGAGCCGCAGCTTAAATATGGTTGGTTCCACTTAAAAGTGTATTCAAAGTTTCAAGACTTAAGCCGGCGCTCAATTGAAACCGGATTTTGGCGGATTTGAGAAGCGGCTCAAATTCATTAAATTCAGACTATGGTAGCGTATGATCTTTGAGATATTTCAAACATTGAATCTTCAAGATCAAATAGTCAAAGTTTACACAATCAAATTTCAATGATAAGATGATTAGATTAGATTCTTTACCTGATGTTTGAAATATTCTGTCTCATAATCAGGAGTTTTCCTTTTCTTCCCTCTCGTTTCTCTTTTGACTGGCATAGGCTCCTATTCAAGAGAAAGAAACAATTAGAAATAGGACTGTCACTATAATTTAAGCGAACTTCAATTTCAATGTGGGCATACCCGATTCTAAACGGTCCTTTAAACTTTTATCCGATTTAAATTTAAATAAAAATTGAAAATAATCAACTTTAAAACTCCTTTCCTTTACCTCCTCTACTCATTGATTACCTATGACTCCTGTCTTTTACCCACCACTACTCCTTGATTCCCATTTAATCCTGTCAATTACCCCCTCTACCCCTTGGTTACGATTAACTACTGTTATTTACCATCTCTCCCCCTTGATTATCATTAACTCATGTCCTTTACCCCCTCTACCCCTTGATTACCATTTACTCATGTCCTTGACCCCCTCTACCCATTGATTATCATTAACTGATTTACCCCCATACCCCTCGATTATCTGAAACTCTTGATTTTACCCCCTCGTCGGTCCCATGATTACCCTTCACTCCCGTTTTTTTCCCTCTTTACCCCTTGGTTAGTATTAACTCCTTTACTAGCTTACCCCTTGATTACCATTAACTCCTTTATCCCATCTACTTACTACTTAAAAACTCCTTAAAACTTTAAACTCCTTTACCCCACTGTACAGTGAACAGCTTGATTACCTGAAACTCCTGAGCTCTCTCCTGTTCAAACGATGCATCCTTCTCTATCGCCTCCTAAAGTAACATAAATCAAAATCGAATAAGGGGCAGCCATTCAGAAACAATGGCGAAAATTGTCAGAATTGAACACTTAAGCTAGGAAAACGATAACCCTTCCACATTATTAATCTGATAAAGGCGTAATTTGAAAGGGTAACGTTGTGAATCGGGCAACCTGCTGGTCACTTAAAATAACAACAACAGTTCCTTAAAACATATTGAAAAATGATTATTTCCTAGATCAGTGATGAGTTAGTTACCTTTTCTGCGTCTGTATGCTTGACTGTGAGATTAGCTTGATACTTCTTGAATATCTCCTGGTTATGCAGATTCCGCCCTGGCAGAGCAAACAGCTTCTCTACCCCACCCGTCTCCTTCCAGTGCATTAATCTTTTAGTAGGCGGGGCCAGATCTAGAATATTAATCTCTTAGTAGGCGGGGCCAGATCTAGAATATTAATCTCTTAGTAGGCAAGGCCATATCTAGAATATTAATCTCTTAGTAAGCTGGCCCAGATCTAGAATATTGATCTCTTAGTAAGCGGGGCCAAAACTAAATTATTAATCTCATAGAAGGCGAGCCCAGATCTAGAATATTGATCTCTTAGTAGGCGGGGCCAGATCTAGAATATTAATCTCTTAGTAAGCGGGGCCAAAACTAGAATATTAATCTCTTAGAAGGCGGGCCCAGATCTAGAATATTAATCTCTTAGTAGGCGGGGCCAGATCTAGAATATAAATCTCTTAGTAGGCGGGGCCAGATCTAAAATATCAATCTTTTAGCAGGCGGGGCCAGATCTAGAATATTAATCTCTTAGCAGGTGGAGATAGATCTAGAATATTAATTTCTTAGTAGGCGGGGCCAGACCTAAAATATTAATCTTTTCGCAGGCGGGGCCAGATCTAGATATTAATCTCTTTATTTCTTAAAGAACGATGAAAAAATGGAGACTAAAAAAACAACAATTAAAAGCGAAAATTGTTTATAGAAAAACATCCTGACAATCAGGTGTATTCAATTCCAATTCATACCTAGGGTTGTGACAATTTCGGAAGTATCACTCAATTGTGCTTTCATCTCTTCTCCAGTTATAGCTTTCACTTCATCAACAATCAGCTTGCGCTTCCTTAACATTAGATTAGATTATTTATTTGTACTCCTCCAAGAACAGTCTTAAAAACTTTGTTAAAACTCGGCTTTTAGGGCGCTTCGCGCCCATCTTCTATTTCAATTGTGAAAATTTTCTCTTTTCATACATTGTAAAAAAAAAAAATTGGCGGATTTTATAAAAAAATTTCATGGATTTTCAAAATTTTCATAATCGAATTTTTAAAGGCAAAGTTTCGAAAATTCGATTATCCATAAACCTTCCCTGGGGTCACGTGAAGTCCCACAAAAAATTTGAACCCGATCGGTTCAGCCGTTTTAACGTTTATTGGACACAAACAAACAGACTGACAGACAAGCAAAGTATTATAGATTATATTTGTAACAGTAGTGAACAGTCACCCATTGGGACCCGAAAAAAATCATAGATTTCACGGGGGGGGGGGGGTGCAACCCCACTGAATACGCCTATAGAAAGTTTATCGTTTTCTTCATTTCCTTTTAAATCATAAAATGTCGCTTTTTCGTAAAATTGAATTATTTTCAATTATATGCACTCATAATTTTTAAACATTTCCCAAATGCAACAATTTTTACATTTCTTGATTGAAATAACGATAACGACAAGGATCCTAGAGTTTTCTCTTAAATACTGTATATAATACAGAGCGTCCCATATCATACAGGATTATATCCAAGGTTTATCTCTGAAATACGCACATTATATAAAAAACTAATGTTTACTGAATGCATAATTTTATAATAAAAGGCTTAAACATTTTTTTTATTGATTTAATTTTCTAAATTTTCTAATTAGTCCTGAACATCCCAATTTAGAGCTATAAACGTTCCGAAATGATGTGGGACACCCTGTATATTGTTTCCAAAAAATAACATAGATTTTAGTTACTAAAATAATTCAGCCGCATTCACCTTTTAGCTCTGGTAAATCCCTTGATAGCGCTGACATCTACCGGTGCTAAAGCAAAACTCTCCTCCTCGTTGTGGAGCAGGGTAGTTGTGTCTTGAGCTTCAAGTTCCCTGAACAAATCGTTCAAATCAAAAGCATAAAAGTTTAACTCGAAAACAAGTTTTTCAGCTTTTGACCAACTTAAGTTTAGATTACACTTTTTTATCAATATCTTTTTAATGAATCAAAGAAACTGATTACTAGCCTCAAGCTATAGTTTTCAAATCTCCTTAGCTTTACAACCTGACGGTGAACACCATTGAAATTTTAAACTTTGACTACTCGATATAGAAAAATTCTTGAAATAGCAAATACTACATCAGGTTGCAAAGATCTAAGGAGTTGAACATTAGAGTTTGAGGCGAGAAATAATCAGTTCCTTTCTTTAAAACTTTCCACGAAATTGACTTACTTGCGTTGTTGTTCTGTTGCATGTGCCTGTAGGACAGAACTTCTTGAACTCCTGATACTGTGGTGGGAGAGGGCTACAGACGGGGCTAGGGAGGGGGCCAGGGAGGGAGCGTGGCTCGCCATACTATGGTGGGAAGGGGTTGGAGAAGAAGGTGGAGACATGTTGTCCTCCATGGGCGTGGCAGGTCTGGATCCGCCTCCAATACTTGGGCTGGAGGGACTTCTAACACCTGGAAATTGGGATCAAAAGTTAAAAAAAAAAACATTTTCCAACGTGATTGATTTTAACCAATGTTTGTTTACCCAAATATAGATTTTCCCAAGCAAACATTTTCCCAAATGTCAACTTGGACTGAAAGAATGCGCAAATGCTTTAAGTTTTACGAAGTATAAAATGGAAAAGTGTACATTTAAGAAAATTGCAACTTGGAGAAGTGTACGCAAAGGAAGTTTCAACTTGGAAAAGTGTAAGTAAAGGAATTTTCAACTTGGAGAAGTGTACGTAAAGGAAGTTTCAACTTGGGAAAGTGTACGTTAAGGAAGTTTCAACTTGGAGAAGTGTACGTACAAGAAGTTTCAACTGGGAAAAGTGTATACGTAAAGGAAGTGTCAACTTGGAAAAGTGTAAGTAAAGGAAGTTTCAACTTTGAGAAGTGTACGTAGAAGTTTCAACTGGGAAAAGTGTACGTAAAGGAAGTGTCAACTTGGAAAATCTAAGTAAAGGAAGTTTCGACTTGGAGAAGTGTACTTAAAGGAAGTTTCAACTTGGAGAAGTGTACGCAAAGGAAGTTTCAACTTGGAAAAGTGTAAGTAAGGGAAGTTTCAACTTGGAGAAGTGTATGTAAAGGAAGTTTAAACTTGGAAAAGTGTAAGTAAAGGAAGTTTCAACTTGGATAAGTGAAAGTAAAGAGAGTTTAAACTTGGAGAAGTGTACGTAAAGGAAGTTTCAACTTGGAAAATTGTAAGTAAAGGAAGTTTCAACTTGGAGAAGTGTATGTAAAGGAAATTTCAACTTGGAAAAGTGTAAGTAAAGGAAGTTTCGACTTGGAGAAGTGTACATAAGGGAAGTTTTAACTTGGAAAAGTGTAAATAAAGGAAGTTTAAACTTGGAGAAGTGTACGTACAGGAAGTTTCAACTGGGAAAAGTGTACGTAAAGGAAGTGTCAACTTGGAAAAGTGTACGTAAAGGAAGCTTTAAGTTAAGAATGTGTAGTGTGTACATCAGGGAAGTTGCAACCTACACAAGTGTAAATTTGGAAGGTTTCTTGGAAATTACCCATATAAGAAGTCAGAACTTAGAAAGAGTGCATTTGTGAAGGTGCAACTTGGGAAAGTTAACATTTGGCAAGGTTGCAAGGGTAAAATTTTTCCTTTGGCACTGGCAATGGGTAAAATGCATTTTGAAAAGATCCTCCCAGTAAAACTATCACTGCAAAAAGGATACAGACCAATCATGTAAAAAGATATTCCTCTGAAGAATAAAATAAAGAATCCTACTTGGGAACGGAGCATCATGATAGGTTCCCATACTCTCGCTTGGTGCATGGCTGGGAGACATTGTTGGAGGAACATCCTAGATTTTACATTCAAATAATTTTCACAGAGTCACGATTTATGAATTGTGGTTAAGTAGACTTAAACAATAGTAGGAGTTGATCCTGAGGTGCTTGTGGGTTATCTTTTTGAAAAAAAAATCGTGTGTTTTTAACAAATTAGTTGATCCAATATCAAGGGTTTTCAGTAGATCAATAAATGTTTTGCTTCAGGATCAGCCACGAAGCAAGAGACTTCAGAGACAACTATACAAAATGTATACCGTCTAGTGTCTATTTCCTTATATATAGGATTTTCTGCCACTGTAAACTGGGTTCTTTTGTATATGCAATTATAAGACAATATCAAAGCAGAAAACTTAATCTAACCTCGTAATAGTCATATTTAAAGGACATTTGTACAGTCTCATCATTTGAGGGTAAATCGGTAATAAAGGTTTAAGCATGCGGCAATTTTCATGATTGATTGAATTAATTGATTATTGTTTGATTAATTGATTGATTGAAAGAATTGAATGAATTCCTCAAAGAGAGAACCGTCCTCGAAGAGTCCTCCGGCCAACATATCTTGTCCATTTGTAACACTTCCTCCAAACCCGTCATCCTAAAACACAGAGAATGTAAACACATTTTCCCTTTTATTAGTCCAACCCTCTCTCCTTCGAGGGAAAATAATAGAGGAAAAATAAAAAAGACAATCTAAGTAGGTTTTCATAGATCAACAAACAATTTTTAACCCCTCACTTAAACTTAATATTTTTTATCCCTATGAGGTCAGTTAAATAATTTAACTAACTTCACATATTGCTTGTTTTTTTTTTGAGAAACTATTGAATAAAGAAAATTTATTTCTTCCTATTTTAAAATATTTTCTAAATTTTTGGACGACTTAATCCTAAAAAGTAAATAAATTTAAGTAAATTTCACCTGAATCGGATCATCTAAACCCATGGGTCTCCCTTTAGCAGACTCTCGACCTAAGATAAAAAATAATATAAACAAACGTTGGGCAAAACTAACTTGCCTTTGCAGAGACCAAAACCAAAAATGAACAAGAAAAATGCGAATATCAGAAAAAAACGCAAGAAACATAAAAGATATAAGATAAAATTGGTTCTTACCAAACATAGAGCTAGGAGCCACCATACTGTGGCCAGCTACTGAAGCAGTGTCCCCAGCTATTGAATGCTGGTCAACAATTGAATAGTCCCTGGTTCCTTCAGTCTAGAATATATATTACTTAGCATGAGTATTGAGTATTTCCCTCGAAATCAGTAATTACCCTACCCCCTGACATAGCATACGTGTATTTTCTCTGAAATCAGTAATTACCCTACCCCTGACATAGCATACGTGTATTTTCTCCGAAATCAGTAATTACCCTACCCCCTAGTCTATATAGTATATAGTCTTTAAGTATTTCCTTCGAAATAAGTAATTACTCTACCCCTGACATAGTATATGGGTGTTTTCTCTGAAACAAGTATATATCCTACTCCCTGGCAAAGTCTATGAGTATTTACATAAAATATGTGAATTTCCTCCGAAATCCGTAAATACCCTACTCTTTACACTGACTATCCATTATCCGAATTTCCTCCGAAATCAGTAAATACCCTACCCTTTACACTGACTATCCATTATCCGAATTTCCTCCGAAATCAGTAAATACCCTACCCTTTACACTGACTATCCATTATCCGCATTTCCTCCGAAATCAGTAACTACCCACCCAACCCCCTGACAGTCTCTGAGTATTAATTTGTTCTACCCTTTTACATAGTCTATAAGTAATACCCTAGATCCCTTGAACTAGAATCCTACCTCCTGAGCTAGACTAAGAGCATCTCCTCCGAAATCGTTTTCCATCTCGGAGGCATCTCTAAGCATCTCCGGAGTTCGTGGGTCCATAGAGGGTACATCACCAAACCCATCATCTCCTGCAATGTTACATATTCTGTAATAATCATTGCTTTTATGTTGTAAAAAGAATTTTTTTATTTTATTATAAATGTACATGTATTTTCTTAAATTTTGGAGGATAAGTACTGTTTTAGTTATTGTAATAAAGAGACGTACAAACTTCAAATCTCGTTCTTCAACTTAGTTGAAAATACTAATCTTTTATAAGAAAAATTGCAGTGATAATCATAAAACTGGGGAACGAATGTCGTCATTTCATAATCCTTAAAACTAATGAAACATGGTTAAGAATTGTGAAGCTTACAATTTTTGTAACTGATATGTATCTTTAAAAAAGTTTAGGTCACTTTTTTAAAGAAAGGAGCTGAGTTGTACATTAGAAAATCCTATGAAACTTTTTATCAAATAAAATAAAAAAAGAAAACGAAAACAATTCCACTATTTATCGGTACTCTGTGTACTGATTACAAAACCTGTGTCAAGAGTTATATTTCCATAATCTTCTCTCATGGTGATCTCTTCAGCTCGTGTCTGGTTCATAGAAAACTGAGCCTAAAAATATTGAAATTTTGAATACTTCAAAATATGTTAAATGTAAACAAAAACCAGTTCATTATCCGTTTTATAACAAAATTAAGTTTGCCAATTATCATTATTATTTCATTGCTATTATCACTGTCATATACCTGTATATCTACATCGTTTAAGTCTGGCATCTCTGTATCAAAATCATGAAAAACCTAAAAAAAAAAGATATCTTCATTAAATGCAGGGGTATAATTTTTCAACTAATTTTCGAACGATTTAATAAGAAAATTAAAACTCGTGAAATTATTTTAAAAATTAAATCAATTAAATAAAAAAATTTGAAATACAATTGTATATGACGATATTTCAAATTGTATATGACGATATTTTTAGCGATTGGTGAGTTCAAACCCTGGTCGTAACAAACAACTCTGAGAATGATTTTACCTCTGGTAGTGTGATGGCATTCATTGCCGCCTCTCTATTATCCTCCGGTAAATCAACCATACCTAGAAATGTATTTATAGAAAACAACTTTCTAATTGTAGCAAACCCCTTGAACATTTGCGATAGAGGCCTTCCAAGTTTAATATAAGTCCCGGCATTTTAGTTGATTTTAAACTGTAAAATAGCACTCAAATAACATTGAATTATTAAATGACAATTTAAATCATTTGAAGAGTTTAGAAACAAAAGTGTGTTTTTCGTCCTAAAATAATCAATGTCAATTTTATCACTTTTAGCCGTAAAATCATGGCGCCTACTTAACAGAAACTTTTTATACAAACATTCAAATTGTTAATAATTTTTCTACCAATAATGATTTTAATAACAATAATAATTATACCTGGTCTAAAGGCCATTTTAATTTTGACAAAAGCTTCATTACAGTCTGCCAAGAGGTATTTAGCCTTCCTTGAGTATATCCTGACCACCCCCAGTAGAAGATGACCGCTAGTACGCAGGGCCATCTTTACCTGAACATTTATTGATTCAATCAGAGACAAAATCCTTGTCTCTGATTGTCCTTACAATAATAACACGTAAATAATACTTAAATTAAAAACGTTTGAATATAATTAAATGATCAGTGAAAGTTCAAAATGCGTGTACTATTTTAAGTATCAGTGAAAAACAAAAACAAAAATATAAAAATAACGAGACTAAAGACAAGAATAAATGGGCGTTTCACCAGAAATTGACTAGCGTGAGTTCGCTTTGAGTGGCATGTCCGATTCAGAACAGTATTCATAAAAGCTTTGTCTAATCAAGAATGGAAGATATCAAAGCTTTGCTCAATGCGTCAAATTAATTATTTTCGATTGAAGTTTATTTAAAAAAGCGGGTTTCTGTTGCATGTGGGAAATTTTCAGGGACCCTACATTTTACAATGGTGCTTTTTGACCAATTATTTAAAGAAAATAAGGATATATTGCCGTCTTTCTATCTTAAAAAGAATTTTATTTTTAACTTTGTCTCTGTTGCACAATGTACATAAATTCCATTTAAATAGGATAATTTCCTTTAGAATAAAATTTGGTCACCCCCCCCCATCAATTTTGTACATGGCCGGCTTGATATTAAAAAAATCTTTTATTATTTAACATACATAAAATTCTGGGCCAAGCGCTGCGGCTAGGACAAGCTAGGGGTCCAGCGCTGTGGTCACATGACCATATTTATGCGATACATATGAGATGAATGTACAAATTTGATAGGAAGGGGGGGAGTACAATAATATAAAAAACGATCTTTGAGAAATTGCCATATTTAGATGGAATTTAGGGTAATTTCCAAGAGAACGAGTTTTGGACCCCCCCCCCCTAAAAAATCGTTCACTAGGACAGACCCGGAATTTAGTATATTGAGCTCATTTAACTCAATAAATGAGGTAGCCCGGCAATCATTTAGTCTCCGACAAATCGATGTCGAGAGTGTCGAACATTTAAAGTCCAGTCCAGAGTTTCAAACCCGAAATCTTCGCCATCGGCACAAATAGTCGGTTAAAATGATTCCTGTGAGCCCTCTGTGAATCTACTTATTATTTTATCAACTAACCTTTGGTTGTATGATCCCCTCAACACTCTGCTCAATATTAGTTTCAAACACATGAGCCTTGGTTAGCTTCTTGTCCCAGTGAGCAGCTAACCAAATCCGGGATAAAGGACCCTTCTTAGCGAGCACAAAATGCGCGTAAAACATTCTGAATATTCTTTCCCTTAGCTAGACTACCATTAATTTCTGAAATGATCAAAATTATAAGGAATTTTTTTCAAAATTCTTTCAAATCGAAAAATTGGTAATTTCCTGGAAAACTATTTTTCACTTGAATAGTCCTGTTCAGAGAACGATCTTTATTTACATTTTCAATAATAGAATTCAAACAAATAGTATGCGACGCGCAATGCACCGTAGGGTTTTCAAGCGGTTTAAAGGGGAATTCTTGAGGGGGTGAAAATATGAAAAATGTAATTAAAACATTTTCAAAAAATTAAATTTGTGATACTAAATTTTTTGATTAAAAAATATAATTTTTTAAATTAATATATTTTACAGTCTTCATTAATCCCCCTCAAAAAGTTTATTGATTTACATTTTATAAAAGACGACATTTAAGTGTGTTCTTAATAAAAAACATTTGTAAAATTTTGACCCTGATGTACTTAGAAAATTTGGAACTACTTTTGAAAAAGTAAACACGAAGTTAAATCAAAGAATGAAGGATACAAAAAAATGTTTCTTTACCAGCACAAATTATATTTATAGTTGCGTTGAGACTATAAATGTTTTTGGTTTATGTCGAAACATAAATTTTGTTCCAAAATAAAAAAAATAAAGCCAACTTGCAAATGCAAATTTAAAAACTTTCTCTTTATTTTACACGGTTTTAAATGTCGTCTTTGTTTTGAGTGTTTCGGAATGAATTATGACAAATCTACCAAACCAAACCGTCTGCTCGGTCAACAAGTGCAGTTCTGGCACAGACCGAGGGCGTTTCAGTCAAAGCTGTCAAAAGTTTGAATATATTATGGTTAAATTAATTGTACCGAGAAGTTGTTTGATAATTAATAATTTTGATTAAACAAGCTACAAGGTAGTTTATTATTGTGATATTGAATTTACGTTTAGTTTTCACAACAAAGTGATGACTAATTGTTGGAATAATTTCTTGTTTTTAGAATTTTCGGCTGGATCTTTTATAGAGAAATATAAAAGCCCATTATTTTTGTCGGGCATCAATTAAGTGGGCCGTTCCTAGAATCGTTCTCCAGGACAACACCGTGAAATCTTTATTTTGAAGTTTTCTACAGGGCGTCCCATTCAAGCAAATTATAATGATTTCTCATTATTTTTTTCGTCTACGTGGTGTTCCACTTTACTTTTCTATTGCTACTACTAGATGGGTTTCAACAACTTCAAACCTACTCTTATTCATTAGCAAATTAGTAAATTGAGTACTTCTACTCCTAACTTTATAATTAGTTAAATTCCTTGTCCCCTGACCATGTTTATATTTAAGATCTAGAATGTTTAGTTGGATGAATAAGGAGGAGAGTAGGAAGAAAGGAACTGATGTATATGATGGGGTAGCCGAGGGCTTGAAGAATATATACAGGCAGAAACTTCTCCCATTAGAGAAGGAATATCAGTTTCATGATTTCCATTCTCCAGCACTAGATGATCCAGACTTCGATGCAAAGTAAGATATCGCATTAAATATAGGATATCAAAAATAATGCTTTTAAGAGATTAAATTTAGACTGTCCTTCCCTTCATGCTTTCTACTAAAATTTTATTGACAGATATGTTAATGAACTTAGCTCTGATTGTCTAGCGGGCTGTTATGTGCTGAAAAAGTTGGGATGGAGTTTTTTAAAGGTGTAAGGAGTATTACATTGATGTTTAATATATTGATTTATTGTTATAAAAACAAACAATTTTTATTATTGTGGATTTGCCTAGGAAAAGATGTCCTAAAACGTCAGAGCATAATATGAATATCCCATATCCCCATCTTGTATGTTAAAAATTCCTCTTTATAGAAATATTTCTTATGTTTGCAAAAGTGGGGAAACTCGGTACGTTATGCTTTTTTTCTAGACCTATGGTTATGTTGGTTGGTCAGTACTCGACCGGAAAGACGACCTTTATCAGATATTTACTGGAACAGGATTTTCCAGGGATCAGGATTGGACCTGAGCCAACCACTGACAGGTTTATATAAAAATTTTAAACCAAGAACTTTTCAATATTTGTTTTTAGTCAACTTACTTATAAAAAACCAATTAAAGTAACAACAAAAAAGTTTGTTTGTTTGTAATAGATGTTTAAAGATGTTGGAAATCCAATTTGATACTTAGTGATAAATCTTCAGTGTACAATGTCCTTGGGATGGCTTCGGAAGACAATATTTTAAGAATAAATTAATCGATGTATTTAAGCTGGAATATGTAAAAAACTAAATTTGTTTATACTTGTTATCTTCAATCAGAACTACTACTATTTGCTTGTTATTAATCGTATTTTTTTTCTTATTGGTATTACTATTCTTAAAAATCACCACTCACCAACTAGCTGTGATATATATTAAATATGTACGCAACAAAACAAGCGAAAACGCCAAAAACAAAAATCAGTATTTTATACGTAAAAGAATTACACCAAAGTAAGTTTTACAATAAGCTAAATAGCATATTTTCCCTTAATATTTTGTCAGCTATACGTTTTGTTTGTTCAGGTTTATAGCTGTGATGCACGCAGATACGGATGGAATCGTTCCTGGGAACGCTTTAGTCGTGGATCCTAAAAAGCAGTTCCGTCCTCTCTCCAAGTTCGGGAACGCGTTCCTTAACAGGTATGTAGTAAGTTTTGGGACTTGACCTTAAAAAATATTTGTTTTTATTGTTATTTGCTGTTGTCATCGGCATCTACTTTCACATAAAAACATTTGTGTATGGCCTATGCCAGTATGCTATTTTAAACCATGCGAAACGTTTTTCTGTATTAAAACCTTTTAAGGATCTTTAACTAAAAAATTTTATCCTGAAATAACAAATCACCCTTTCGAAGTTATGAACAAATCCAAATGCTTAATGGTTACCACCGAATGACGACTTCTTTCTTTCTTGATATCCCCTTTCTTTTATTGCCTGTTTTCCCATGTAAATCCTAGTACAATCGTTTAGCTCATTTAGAAGTGTGGTTTATTTATCCTTCACATACTTCCAGGTTCTGAATCTCAAATCGTTATCAATCTCCGAAATCTCATAATTCGTTATCAATCTCATGAATCTTCTAAATCGCTATAAATCAGCGATTATCATTCTCCTGAATGTCTTGAATCGCTATCAATTTCCTAAATCTCTCAATACCATATATTTCAGGTTTCAGTGTTCTGGAACTACATCAAGTGTCCTTAAAGGAATATCTATCGTGGATACTCCGGGAATTCTCAGGTAATTGATAAAAAAAATAGTAAAAATGTGTTTTAACGAAAAAAATTCAGATATTATTTGTTTTTATTTGATTTATTATTCACAAGTTCAAAAGGAAGGAGGTATCATATTAGTTCATACTGTGCAGTGTGCTTTTAAACAAAGTCTGAATTTAAAAGCTATAATCAAAACTTAAAACGAGTTCGGATTTTATAAATAGAGACAGTAGGTGCAACCGGTTCAAATGCAGCTGAATAAGTTAAGAAGTTGGATTGCCTCTCTCTCATTCATGATTTACAACTTACTATTTTTATTAAAGATATCCGAAGCTTTTCCATTTAAAATTTTTCGTAATTTTTGTGATTCATGCAACGGAGTTTTCACGATTTTTCTGTTTAAATTAAAGTTTTAAATTTCTGATTACAATGCCTGATTCAGATATTATAACTATAAACACCAAAAAAATATTAAGTAAAAATTCCAAATGCTAACAATAAAAATTTGAGTAATTTTTTCGGAATATCTTTCGCTCCTACATTTCGCTTTTACCTTCTGTATATAGTGGTGAGAAGCAAAGAACGGACCGAGGATATGATTTCATCGGAGTTCTGGAGTGGTTTGCGGAGAGGGTTGATAGAATTCTTCTGCTCTTTGATGCTCACAAGGTTGGTTAACTCGAGAATTTAGATTCGCTTCAACTCGAGGATTTAGATTCGATTTAACTCAAGGATTTAGATTTTGTTTAGCCCATGGATTAAGATTCGGTTTAACTTAAGGATTTAGATACGGTTTAACTCGAGAATTTAGATTCGGTTTAACTCCAGTATTTAGATTCGATTTAAATCAAGGATCTAGATTCGATTTAAATCAAGGATTTAGATTCGATTAAATTCAAGGATTTAGATTTGGTTTAGCACATGGATTAAGATTCGGTTTAACTTGAGGATTAAGATATGGTTTAACTCGAGAATTTAGATTGAATTTAACTTAAGGATTAGATTGGATTTAACGTTTTGTTTGAATATTTTGCCCCCCCCCCCCCTCTCCCTCCTTAAATACTAAAATATTGAAACTCTATTTATATAACCGGCACAGCTAGATTCTTTACTTCTTTGTTAGTTAACAATATTTTTAAACCGCATCTTACACCGGTTTTTATCTATTACACTGCCGCACCCATGTTTTACTGGTATTCCCCGACCATATCTTACTTGTCTTTTTTAAGTGGGTGTCTACTCTTCATTATGAAATGCATCGGATTAAACTATTTTAGGAATTTTGTATTCTAAATTTTTTTTGAAAAATATTTATTAGTTCTCCTCATTAAATATGGATCGATCAATCCTTCTTTCATACTTGTATCCTGTATCCTGTATCTAGATATTTATAGTATACCGAGTACTGATAATTGTTTAATGTTTATCCTGATATTTATTGTATCCAGAGTCCAGGTATTTTTTTACGAATTAACCTCATAAAAAAAGATCAATCCTTCTTTCATACTTTAATCCTGAATCCTGTATCCTGATATCATGATGTTTGCTGTATCCTAATATTTATTGTAGTCTGATTTTTATTTTATCCTGATTCTCAATGTAACCTGATATTCATTGTAACCTGATAACTATTGTATTCAGATATTTATTGTATCCTGATATTTATTGCATCCTGATATTATTTTAACCTGATATTTATTGTTTACTGATATCTATTCTATCCTGATATTTATTGTAACCTGATATTTATTGTATCCTGATATCTATTGTATCCTGACTATTTTGCATCCTGATATTTGTTTAAATTCTGATATATATTGTAGCTTGATATTTATTGTATCCTGATATCTATTGTATTTTGACTATTTTGTATCATGATGTTCATTGTATTCTGATATTTATTGTAGCTTGATATTTCCGATGAGTTCCGGCGATCTATTGAGGCGCTGAGGGGTCACGACGACAAGATTAGGATCGTTCTCAACAAGGCCGACATGGTCGATCATCAGCAGCTCATGAGGGTAGGGTATTCCATTCGTAAGGGTAGGGTATTATATCCATAAGGGTAGGGTATTATATTCATAAGGGTAGGGTATTCTATTCATGAGGGTAGGGTATTATATTCATGAGGGTAGGGTATTACATTCATGTGGGTAAGGTATTCTATTCATAAGGGTTGGGTATTCTATTCATGAGGGTAGGAGGGTATTATATTCATGAGGGTAGGGTATTCTAATTCATGAGGGTAGGGTATGATATTCATGAAGGTAGGGTATTATATTCATGAAGGTAGTGTATTCTATTCCCGAGGGTATGGTATTATATACATGAGGGTAGGGTATTCTATTTGAAATGAAGTGATGGAGATTACAATTTGGGAAAAGTTGAATGAATTGATCCACACTTTTTTTATACAAAGCTTTTATCTCCTTATTTTGCAAATTAGATATATTCGAGCTAAAAGTAAACAATGAGTTGATATATAAACAAATATTTGCTTAATATGACTAATTCAGATACTCCACATAGTTTTTATTTTACGTTGTTTTCTTACTTAATCATATCCTTACATAATTGCTTCTTTTTTATGATACTTTATTTTTCTCGTTGATTTTCATATTTTTATTTATTTACATTAGCATGCAGTTGTGTAAACCCTTAAAAACAAGTCAAGCAACTTATCTCAGAATTTTCATTAAATCCGGATATTTTTAAGAGTACAAAATTTTAATTTATTAAAAAATATTTAAATTTATTTTTTATATCATATTGATCGTATTTGCATAATTTTCATTATTTTCTTCGGGGTTATAAATTTATTCATGGAGCCTGTGAGCGAGGAATGAACAGGAAATAGATAAATTTGCAGCCTTAAAGGGACTCTTTGACAAAATTTCTACATTTTTGTTTTATTAAAATGCCAAACACAAGGGTAGCCTTCAATTCTTGACCGTTGTGAATCCGGCATGGCGTTGGTAACGTCGACAAACCCTTTAATATTGTTTTAGGTGTACGGAGCCCTGATGTGGTCCCTAGGAAAGGTCCTGGGTACCCCTGAGGTTGCTAGGGTCTATATAGGAAGCTTTTGGGATCAACCTCTAAGGTATAACAAAAACAAACAAAATTTAGGCTAGATAACATAAGATATAATAATTATTGTATTTCAGAAGCCAAAACTTTTGATTGGGATAGCGCTTAGTCACCTTGACTAAACTCAATATTTAATGCGAAAACTTTAAAACAAGAATTAAAGTTTAAATTTCCATTAAACAATTAAGAAATGAGTTGAAATTAGATCACTTACTTCTGTACAAAGCTCAAATTTGGTCGTGTGGCTGGGTACTTCGCAATTTCAAAGTAAAAACGAGAAAAATTTTATAAAACAGAAGGCCGGACTGAAAAACCAGGAAACTGGGAGGACTTGAAACTCCGATCCATTACTGAAGTCTTAGGCCATCCCTGCAACTTTTGATTTGATTTGATTTCATTTCATTTCATTTCATTTCATTTCATTTCATTTCATTTCATTTCATTTGGAATCAATAATCATATTTATTTATAGTAATCATAATCTTAATGAAAAGGATAATAATTGTAAAATTGTTTTAGATATGATATAAACCGACGATTGTTCGAGGCAGAAGAACAAGATTTGTTCGCCGACCTTCAATCCCTTCCCAGGAACAGAATTAGCCCAAAAAAAAGAATTACCAATTTTTCGTTTTAAAATATTAAATTTGGGTTAAAACCAATATTGTTATATTTGCTGATGCGTTGAGTATACGGAATCTGTATAGTGGATACTGTTTATTGTTTAAAGACGGCATTTTGGGGTTTCTAAACCTTTTATTTATTGGAGAGGGAGGGTCATGTCGGGGCCTTTTTCAAATAACATTTAAAGTCACATTCCAATAAAAAAAAATGACAGTACATTTTCTTTTATTTTTCTTTATTCTCCGAAGCCAAGTTTTGGAATTGTTTTAAATGCATTTAGTTTTTGGCGCTGGATTACTTGTTTTCTATTTAATCTTTAAACACATCTGTATATTCTCAAAGTACTAATCCTCCAATCAGATATATATATATATATATATATATATATATATCAATTTATTATTCAATCAAAAAGCAGATAAACATCCTCATACACAATGTTTCATGGACCAATTGACAAGGACCAATCTTCAGACATCGCTCGCTTTTTTACCTAATTCACCACCTCCCCCCGCAAAAGTATATAATTCTAATCTTGTGATATTCATTTTGCAATCTCATTTCTAATTCTTGTTAATCAACAGAAATGCGGCCTTGAGGAAACTAAATGATCTGATCAAACGAGCAAGATTAGCAAAGGTAACAATTAGAATTATTATTGAGAAGAAAACACATAAAGCGCTTATCTGAGAATATCATCCGTTTCAGCCGGAATTCACTTACAAGAAAAGACGGACATATGTCGTCATTTCCGTTATGCGCTGAGATTAGTGTTACTAATTGTTTTGGTTATTTTTTGCATTTTTTTCTGTCTGGGTCAAAACTTGGAATAATGTAGGTCGGCAAATGTTTATGAACTGTTTATTCTAAACATTCGCTTTCCTTTCACTATAATAAACTGTGAAATGTATGAAAAAACCGAACCATAATTTTTTTGTTTCGTTTAAAAGCAAACTTTAACTTTACACAGTTTTGTAATTGTTTCCACGCCTTTTACACACGTTAAACAATATTTTATTTTCGCAAAGGCATTAATTGCTAACATGATTTTTTTTTTGTTTGAAAGAATGAACCCTAGATGGAAATTAGTAAATCAATTTTATTTTTAAACTGTAATTGTAGATTGTGCAATATGCAATGTACGATGTACGACGTACGACGTACGTGCATTGTGTTAACAATACAATATATTTATGTTCTGTAGGTTCACGCGTACATAATCTCTGCGCTGAAGAAGGATATGCCGGCTGTGTTCGGGAAGGACGGGAAAAAGAAAGAGTTGATTAAGAACCTGGACGCACTCTACGGACAACTTCAGAGGGTTTGTTGATTTTCTTTCAGATTTTGATAGTTTATGATAATTTCCTTTTTTAGTTAACAACCCTTCATACAAAAATATTTTTACTTGTTTTTAGGAATTTTTTTTATTTTTTGGGTGAAATCATTTTTGGAAAGCGAAGTAAAAGAAAAATTGCCATAAAAAAAGTGGCAGAGTGGTGGACTGAATTTTGCAATACCGACATCTGACATTTTTCATGACAAAGAGTTCTAAAAATAACTTTTTTCCCCTGGTTATCTAACATTATGACCAAGCTCTATTATTCTGTAAAATATTTGTCCACATAGGGAGTGTTCACGAAAAATGTAAAGTTGGTTAGGCAATAATCTGGAAAAATGTAAAGTTGGTTAGGCAAAAATCTGGAAAAATGAAAGGTTGGTTACGCTAAAATCTAGAAAAATGAAAGGTTGGTTACGCTAAAATCTAGAAAAATGAAAGGTTGGTTACGCTAAAATCTAGAAAAATGAAAGGTTGGTTACGCTAAAATCTAGAAAAATGTTAAGTTGGTTACGCTAAAATCTAGAAAAATGAAAGGTTGGTTAGGCTAATAACTAGAAAAATCCGTGAAATTTTAAGAGCAAAACAAACCTATCGGTCAAATAAATCGACATATACAACAGAATAAAAAAGATTAGGATAAAAATTCACTCTTGGGTATTGAATGAGTTTAACAGGATCAAAACCGAATTTTATTAGGTTTTAAGCCTCACCCCCCTTTCATTTCACGCGAACACTCCCTTTACTAAGTTTGTATCCTAGGAGCATCAGATATCTCCTGGGGATTTCCCTGATATTAAGAAGATGCAGGAACTACTAGTTAATCATGATTTCACCAAGTTTCATGCTCTAGGTAAATATTTTAAAACCGATAAATGTTTTCATTATTATAATTAATAATCATAATCTAAATTTATGTTGCAATTTTGGTAGATTCAGTTAATTGATCGATAATTCACGTGTTGCACATCTGTGAGATCACTGTTGCTAAAGTTTGTCATTTTGTGAGATCTCTGTTGCTAATTTTTGTCATTTTGTGAGATCTCTGTTGCTAATTTTTGAAGTCATGTTTATTCTAATCGCTTTTCTGGGTTTTCTGCGTATTCTAAGTGCAGAGGTTGTTGTAACTTATGTTTGAGATAGTTCTATTATGCAAAGCCTATATTATTATCTATACATTAATGTACAAGAGCTTTAAATAGATTTCAAGTTACAAAGAAGTACTTAAAAATCATAATTATGAAATATTTAGACCGGAAGTTGATTGAAAGAGTGGATAAGATGCTAGCAGAGGATATTGCTAAACTAATGTCTTTAGTTCCTCTCGAGGAACAGATAAGTAAGACGGAAGGAAGTGATAGGTCAGTATTATTCACGTATACATATTTATTACCTTGGCTGAAAACTAGGGGGACAAATTAAGAAAATGCAATTTTTTCAAATCAAATGTCAAGAAACGCGTCGACAAGATTTTATTTAAAGACAAAGAAACCAGTGGTGTACAGAGGGGGGGGCTATGGTGCTCAGGCCCCCCCCCCCTTGATCAGTGGAGTCTATGGTTTCCAGAGGGTTTTTAGGCCCCAATAAAAATTGTATATCCCTACCCCTGGACTAATTTCTAAGTATGCCCTTGATTATAAACCCCCTAGCCTTCTAATAGAAATCCTCCATGGACTTTATGTGATTATTTGATGAAGGGGGGAGGGGAGAGAATTTCAGTTCTATTTGTATCGGCATAGTTGTTAAAGTATGCTGTAGAGGTTAGGGGTATTTCATTCAATTCTTAATTTAGTCTTTTGGTTTGTTTAAACCTTTTTTTAAATTTTTTATTTGAATTTTCTTCCGAACCTCGCCAATCTATATAATAAAACAAGACATTCGTATATATATGCGTATAGCCGGCCAAACGGCTGGACTGATTTGGCTGAAAATTTTTTTGGTCACACATGGGTGGCTTGTTAAAGGCTAAAAAGAATCCGAAATTATTTTTGGAACATTTTTATTTTTTTGATAATTTTTTTTCCACGGGCAACGCCGGGCCCTTCAGCTAGTAGTTTTTATTCAATAAAGGACAGCACAGAAACTAGAACAAAAGACAATCTCCTAAGAAAATTTGTATCTTTTTGAAGATGCATTTTTGGGATGCATATAGATAATTTAAGTAAAATATTCTAGTACAACTTATTTGTTCCAAATTTGTACATTTTTTGTAAAAGTGAGAAGTCTTTGTCACAAACTCTGATTTTCTAATTCCGATATCTTTGGATTCCAATATTGAAGACATTTGACATTTCAAACTATGACTTCTGTTAAATCAAATAATACACGTTTAAGAAATATCAAAGGTTTACGACAAAGGGTTCAAAAGATATGGGGATTAGAAAGTCAGAATTTGTGGCAAGGACTCAACTCCTTTAAAAGAGCTCATTTTAATCAGATACATTTTGACCTAATTTGGTTCACCCTATCTAAACTTACATTTTGACCTAATTTGGTTCACCCTATCTAAACTTTAATATTACCTTTTTAAATCTATTTAAGCGTATCCACCCTTTCAAAAGTTTCCAGCTGTGTATCAAGTATCATGTCGGACTTGTAAATGCAAGGTGTATAGTGTACAGGTGCCAAGGCTTTTAGGAGAGTTATAAAAGCAACTTTCCCTTAAACTCCGGATCGAAGAATCGTAATTACTTGGTCAGCTACCTTAATTAAAAACCGTTATCCTTCCCGGCCTTAAGTGGTTTCTCCGGATAGGGAATCTAATAAATAATGAAATGTATTTAAACGTTTTTATTTGGCAGAAATGATTCAGGAAAAGTCTGTTTAACTGCTCTCTACTGCTCTTATGTTTTGTTAACATTTTCATCAATATTATATTTTAGTGCTTAGGATCAGGATCTACTGGACTAGATCCGGATCCACTGGACAGGATCCGGATCCACTGGTTTGACCATATTTTGGCACTCTGGATCCGGATCCACTTGTTACAATATTTTGGTGCGCTGGATCCGTGTCCACTGGTTTGGCAATATTTTGGTTTCCTGGTTCTGGATCCAACGTCCAAAAAATATCCTGCTCCATGAATTCTTATCGAATTGGACAATTTTCATTAAATGATATTTTTTTATCTGAACACAAATATGAAGTAGTAGTTTTGAAAGATGGGTAAACTCATTATGAAAGAGATGATTAAAGTTAAATTAAATTTTTGAGCTTAATCTGGGTGCATTAGCAATCAGGATCATAAGCAATTCTTTCACGGGACGGCTCTATGATCCGTATCCATTTTTCCGCAGGATCCGGATCGGCATTAAAGTTAAATGCTTTCTAAACACTGTGATTATCAATCATAACTGGGTGTAAATGTTAGACTCCCTCTTAGACACGTCTTAGTTTTAGTTTAGATTTATAAATATACGATAGTTATTATTTTGATATTTTGTAAACCCTGAATTGATTTAGGATTGAAGGAGGAGCATTCGACCAAGTTATGGATAGTCAGACCCCGTTCATGTTCAAGGTAATTATTTTGGAATAGAATTGAAAAAAAAAATTATTTCTCAGATTTAAGTTCTTTAGTAATTCTGGAGTTGTACAACTGCTCTTTCTTTACCCGTCTGAAAGGGACTGTGGACACTAATTCAAGTTTACTCTAATAAGACATTGTAGGGAGGAGAGGGTGTAAATGCAGGAGTAGGAGAGGTGGAATGGGTTATTGCTAAGGACAGGTAAAAAATAATAAAGAAGAATTTTTTATTCTCTATTTCGCTGTTGTTTTCAAAAATAGATGAGCGAAAAAGTCTAATTTTAAATCACCTAGCTTATTTTCCTAAAAATCATTCTAAATTAGGAATCAAAAAAAAAATTAAAAATTTTAAGAATTATATTAAATAAAAACTCATTACACCATGAAAACTGTGAAAATGTCTTTTCCAATTTGTTTCAAATTCTTTTCCGGAAATTTCCCTATTTAGTATTTTCAAACATAAAGCATAAAAAAGTAATTGTTTGTTTTCTTTGTACACTAATCCTTATCGTGTCGTACTCCTGCTTCGTTGCTTGATTCAATTAATATCTTAATGCTAAGAATATATTAGTATTATTTGATTAATATAATTCAGAAAGGTTTATCATTAACTAGATTACACCTTTAATATTGAATCTGTCTTATTGATTTTATCCACTGAGATTAAATTAATTCAAAATATTTAAAGCTTTTATTAAAAATAGCAATTTTTACTGGCGAGCGATTTCGAATTTAAAAGGATGTATTTTTTCCATTTATGCTATTATTTGAAAATTATAATATTCTAGATTTTTTTTTTGACATTGACAAGCGGCGGTTTTCGGAAATTAATTTTTTAAGATTTAGTTCACTGAATGATAAATATTTTGATTATATAGGTTTAAGTATGATGCTATGTTTGATGACCTGAACCCTGTGGATGGGAAGGTGTCTGGAGCAGGTATTAAAGGCGTAGGCGTAATTTGAAATGGAGAGTCTCTTGTAATTACGAGTATAGTCCCTTTAATATATATAAAATAAAAAGAATATACTATAACTTAACTTTTCCCCAGTGGCCATTACTTATTCTTAAAGTTTTTTTTTCTGCGTTCTTGCCAGATAGTTGAGTACTGAATTTAGATTGGTTGAATTTTGAAGAATCATGTTTAATATTTTAAATATTTTAGCTGCCAAGAGCGAGATGATCAAATCCAAGCTACCCAACAATGTTCTTGGAAAAATCTGGAAACTAAGCGATGTAGACAAAGACGGTAAATATTTTTTTCTCTTGCCCGTTAAAAGGATCCGGATCCGTATTATTGCAAATATCCGGGTCCCTGCCCGTTAAAAGGACCCCGATCCGTATTATTGCAAATATCCGGGTCTGTCCTGGGATATAAGAATCTGAAGTCGCCTTGTAATTGAAAACTGACCCGTTTTATTACAAGAATACGGGTCAGTCCAGAATGATGAATGTTTACGAATGTTTATTAAATGAATATTTAGGAATTTTTATAAAATGAATGTTAACGAATGTTTATATAATGAATATTAAGAAATTTTTATGAAATATATGTTTATAAAATTAATGTTTATAAAATTAATGTTGATCTAAAATGAATGTTTATAAAATGAATGTTTATGAATGTTTATGAATGTTTATGAATGTTTATAAAATGAATATTTAGGAATGTTGGATGCTGATGAGTTTGCTCTGGCTATGCATCTAATGAATATAAAACTAGACGGTAAACAAACATTCAATTCATTAATTAATTAATTAATCGTATACTGTAAAGAAATCTCTTTGATTTTATAGGCGCAACCGGGGTTAAAGAGGGAGGGGGAGGGGTATTCAGTATTTTATCAAAATTTGATAATTTTTTACAGTTCTACAAAAGCCTCAAATGTTTTCAAAATGAGATTCTCTAGTTTCGAGGGCGTGGGACTGTTCTACTCAGCTACGGAACATGATGTCAACTTAAAAAAGTCTTATTTTTTTTTCATTTTTCTAGGCCATGATCTTCCGACGGAGTTGCCAACCCATCTGATCCCTCCTAGTAAAAGAGCGTTCTAATTCCTAACCTGGAGCCAAGAATCATTGTTTGTGGCTTCCTCTTTATTCACGACTCCCAGGAAAATATAGGCCTCGTGTGTGTATATTTGAAAATTAAGAAAAAAATTGTTTTTTTGTTTCCAAAACGTCCACCCTCCGGATTCAGTTTTTCCTTATAAATTTTATTCAACCTTCTTTATTCTATACGTACCCATCCCTCAAAACATGATTGCTTTTACTTAAACAGTGTACACTGTACATTAGAAATATTTTTTTACACAAAATATCCTATTTTACAAATCTTAATGTCTTGATAACATTTTGGAAGTCAACAAAAATTTTGTATTTTAACATAAAGTAGTATTTTAGTTTTAGTAGATTTTATGCCGATAATAAGTTCCTGAAATTTCAGTTTTTTAAGGAATATGTTCTAAAAAATTTCATTTTCTACTCAAAAAGCTTCCGTCCGTAGTTTTTAAGTATAATAGTACACGCTTTGGGCTTTTTATGTACATTTATACAACTTAAACAGTACAGTACATCATGTTTTTGTACTGTACACAGTTTATTTGTAAATAAATAATTTCTATTGATTTTTGAATGTTCTTGAACCCAGATATTAGATATAGACTTCAATATTATCTTTTTCTAACGTGGAAATGTGATACATTGTGATCTGTAACTACCGGTTATGTATTGTCGGATTTAATAAATAAATTGTAATTATTCTTTTCTGCACATTTTCTGTTCAGATTCATGATTTCAGTTTTGTAGAAAAAATGCTGATTGAGGAAGGTGTACTACAGATTATTAATTGCGTAGAATTGAGGATACATGTACCATGTTACAATGGATATCTTATTAAATCTTAAAGGGTATTTGTCTTAAAAAGCTTCCCCAAAAATCTGAAGAATGTGTTCAATATTTTGAATTGTTATTTACATTTCCTTTTCAATGGTTATACGGGGCGTCCCACGAAACATGACAGTTGGTGAAAAGTTTAGAATGTCTTTTTCCATAATTTGTCAAGTTGTTTGATACCAAAGATCAATAAAAATATTATATAGGAGTCATGTTATATTAAAATTGATTTCAAAGTAAAATATAATTAAGCAAAAGATGTGTTTAACCAAAAATAACTAATTCTTAAATGTCATGTTTCATGGGAAACCCTGTATATTAAAAGTATGCAATGACAAACTAAAAAAAATCGTTTGTGTCCAGTTTCTGCTTATTTTTTGTCTTGGGATTAAAATTGTTTTTAGTAAGTTTTGAAATGTTAAAACCTTCATAAGTTTGTGAAGGGTCTTCCAAAAGTCCAATAACCTTAAAATTATAAAAAAAACTAACCAACTTATTACCTAGTTTTTTTTAAATAATATTAACATATCAAAAAGTTTTTTTATTATACATAAACAGTTTGTCTTAAAAATTCAACTTTATTGGAGATATAGACTTCTCTGTTTTTGCTTTTCTAAATTTCACAAATTCTTAAACTTGTACATTACTAATTGCTGCTTTATATAAAGATATACAAATGTTATATCCTTTCACATTTGTATCATGTACGAATCTAACAATATAAGCACCAATTCACCATAACACAATAGTTTTTGTGAAATACTTGAATAATAAAATGCAATAAAGACACAAATCTACATACGTTAAATTCGTTTATTTTATTAAATGGTTTTTGTAAATTTCATGATTCATGGGTTTTATTGTTGTTTTACTTTATTGAAAAAATATTGGAATTTGTAAATATTGTCACCGAATCAGACCCTACCAGCGATATCAGCTATGCTTTATGTTATTAGAATAACTTAAACGATTCAGTTTTCCTTAAAAATCCCGTCTAAAGACTATAAAAATAAACACATGAAAATATCGGTGTGCATGTTAGTGTGCGTGTGTTGTGTTTGCTCAGTTGAACTTGAGAACCACTGGTATACGGTCGTGAAACCACATGACTCCGTACTACTCAGTTTTGATATGTTCATAGTTATGTATATCTTTCAACTATAGAAACACTGTTTAGTTTTCACATGTAATAGACGGGAATCTAGAAATATTTTGAGGTTAGTGTGTACAATGTACATTGTACATAGTGAGATAATAGGAACAAGATTTCTAAAGCCTTTATTGTCAAAAACTTCGAACGGCAAACACACATGTTAAAAAGTGTTAACTGATAACGGAAATTTAGTTCAAAGAACATTACATTTTTCTTTAACATAAACTTATTTTTTTAGTCCATTAAAGTTGTCAGTTTTATCCACCCACATGTTATAATGTTGCCTGATAATTGGAAATTGACATTTGGATAAGTGATAAAAGCTTTTTAGACAGCTTGGCCGGCGTTTATTTCAATACAATCAAGACAATTTTTCTAATGACGTTTTGATTACAATTAGGAGTTTTTTTTTTAAATTACAAGTTTTCCTGTAAAGAAAGAATTATAACTGTTAATTGACAGCTTCTCATTGGTTTATGTTTATGTGAATCCATGCTGTTTGAAAGCTTGGTGGAAATCATAATTTGAAATCTAAAGTCGTCTGTATTGTATTAATATATACGACAACGATTGTATGATATTTTTTATCATATCTCGTTATATCCATTGAAACCCCTTAACAACATTTTGTACGTGAGGAAAGGTGTAATTGTCTTGCAAAATAGAGACTGCAAAAATATTTGTCTTAAAAATAGTTTTATATTTCTACTAAAGAATATAAAGTTCTGTGTCTACTTCAGTACAGCAGGCTAGCATAAACAAAAACAACTCTTCGTCCGAACCAAGGAATATAACAGAAATTCCCATAAAATAAAGTGTACTGCAGTGCTGCCCAGACTAACCAAGGAGATTTGAATACAAGGAGGGGGCTATAGGGTTTCAGTAACTTTGCTGTGACATTTTTGGACTGCCGGAGAACTAGTTTTTGCGTAAAAACAATAATAAAGATTGTAAACAATAACTCAAATGATGAACAGACATTTTGTGCATCTCTAGCGTTAGATGAAGATTCACCGTATACTAACTCATGTTTGTTTATTATTGTTGTTACGCAAAAACTAGTTCTCCAGCAGTCCAAAAAAGTCACAGCAAAGTGTACGGAAACCCTATTGCCGGAGCCCAAAACTTAAGACAGGGTATTGTTATGAAAACCAGTTTTAAAACCCGGGTTTTACGAATGGGGTTAGGCAGTTTTGTGGATATCAATATTTTTGTTTATGAAATATTTTTTATTTATTTTCATTATATTCTCCATTTTTGTTGAATCTCTTAAATCAAAATCTACAAAATATTAAGACCCCAAAAAGGAAACTCGAGAGTTTCGTTCAATGATACTCTTTTAAATTTTGGGCTCAGCCCTCCTTGCATTCAATGCTCCTTGAGACAAACCTTTGTTTACATTCCTCCCAGAACCTGCAATACACATTCTTTTATGATGATTCCTAATGCTCTTATATCCTTGGTCTGAGGGGCGGGGGAAGTCAGGTGGTCATAAGCCACAACATTTTTCCCTTCCCTTCCATGCCACAGTTTATTGGATTCTTTAGAGGTCCAAATGACGATAGATTCTTGCAAAGAATAAACATTTTGGAAAAAAACACATCGATAATCCCGGGTTTTTTACTCACCCTGTACATTCTAGAGATATTGAAGGGTTACTTATTAAAGATGGTTAGTGGTTAGCCACCAAGATGGAGATTTAAAAAAAAGATTTTATAAATCAACATTTCGCTGCAGCTGTACACTCTTAACAATTTTTTGTATTGCATCTTCTTAGTTTTTCAATCGTTTTCGGCTCGTTTTTTGCATATTTTTCTGTCGGGGTCAAAATTTTGCGCTAGCCAAATTTTCGCCTTGAGAGGAAGTAAACTCCAACAATATGAACGTGTTAAGACGATCGTTTTTTGGTTCACTTTTCCATTTCTTGTTTTTTGGATAAAAATATTGAAAACTTAATTGAAATCAAACAATCTGAAGTGAGGGAACATTTATTAAAAGTTTTTAAAAACTAACAGAAACGATTAATATCAGTATTACATCTAAAAGTTATATGCTTTTGATAATGTCTTAATTATCAATTGTGGGTAAATATGAAATGTACATAAGGTTTATTATTTATCTCACTTGCGAACATTTTCCCTTTGATAGTAAAATTAAAAACATCGCAGCTTTTTCTGTCTTTGCACTTTGCAGTTGTGTATTTTCAAAAATAAATTAAAATCAAAATGTGAGATTGAGCCGTCATGACGTTATTGGACACCAAAAAAAACAGCGAGAAAAACTTAATCTATATTTAAATATAAACTAGCTGAATCAATATTTAAATATAAACTAGCTGAATCAATATTTAAATATAAACTAGCTGAATCTATATTTAAATATGAACTAGTTTAAATATTGATTTACCGAAACTCCATTTTTCACTATAAAGTCGACACACTGAATTAAGAAACTTAAAACATTCCAGTGGTTCTCCTGAGTTCTCCAATCAAACTTTGAGGCAAATCGGTCCAGGTGGTCGAGAGTTATGATCTTACACACATTACAACTGTATATATATACTAGCTTAGGAACCAAACGTTGCCCATGGTAGTTTTAGTTAGTTCCACCGTTTACTTGCGCTTCTTGGTCGTAAATTACGATTTTAGCTATTTTTCGAGATAAAGTGACCTGCACTCAACTTAGAATCTCTAAACCAAACTAAGAACATTCCCGTGGTTCTCCCGAGTTCCCCAATCAAAATTTAAGGCAAATATATCTTGGGTTTCGAGAGTTATGATCGGACATACAATTAAAACAGAGATTACAACTATATATGTATATAAGATATATATATACTATTGGTGTGTATTGTAAAGAGCAAGTGTTGTTGAATGTTGATGTGATTGTAGCAGCAGATGCTAAGGAAGAAATTTCAAGGTAAAATATCAATAGTCGTCAACTGTTTATAATCACAACAGCAGACCTCATAATAAACCTGGTAATAAACCAATCATTTTGGAATCTAAGGATTAAATGGTTCAAACTAGGAACCAGGACGCTTCTTATCATATTTAAAAATTCGTTATATTTATTGAACTAAAACTTTATTTTACAGATTTTAACTTATTTACGTCTAATTCGGGTTCTGGACAAATTACACTCTTTTCATAAGTTTTATTTTATCCTTTCCCCCCCCCCCCCTCCGCCCCCCATCCAGTTTTTATTTTCCTTTTGAACATCAAAGCAGTTTTATACTTTTAATTAAAAATACCTGAAGCAAAATTTTTTTTTTTTTAAATATTTGATGAAATGATAATTATATAATAATGATAATAACACCACGCGTAACACAAAGTTCAAATTTGACAAATTACCATGGGATTCAATTTATCGCGTGTAAACGATAAATTGTCTTATGACTCTTATAAATATTAGATAAAAATGCTTTACAAACCAATAGACAACAGCTTTCAACCAATCCTTTCAGTTTAAAAGAACTGGAAACTGAAGACGTTGAATGTTTACGAAACTGGGTAAAGAGGAACTGTTAACGATATTGTAATATTTGTATGAACTACAGAAATAATTTTTCTTGTATATTATTTTTGTAATTTATTACGTTTTTTAATAAACGTTCAAATTTGAAATAATTTGTAAATGTTGTATTTCTGAATTTGAGTCCTGGAGTCTGATTTATTGGATATTGTGAGGTAGTTGAACTCTGTACGGCTAGATGAGCTTTTTAACTCGATCGATCACACTTAAAAGGATGAAGTTTTATTATCCGTACCCAATTCAACTACTTATTTAATCATTTGTTCATCTTTTTAACATTAATTTTTGAACATTTTTTCTATTCTCAAATTTTTTTGCGATATCGATTGATACAGTTTATCAAACTAGGTTTCGATAGTTCATTAATACAGTTTACCAAACTGGGTTTCGTTTCGATTGATACAATTTACCAAACTGGGTTTCGTTTATCGATTGATACATACAGTTGCTCAAACTGGGTTTCGTTCATCGGTTAGAAAGTTTTCTAAACTAGGTTTCGTTAATCGATTGATACAGTTTACCAAACTTGGTTTCGTTTATCGATTGATACAGTTTAACATACAAACTGGGTTTTGTTAATCGATTAATACAGTTTACCAAACTGGGTTTTGTTTATCGATTGATAAAGTTGCCCAAACTGGGGTTTTGTTTGTCGATTGATACAGTTTACCAAACTGGGTTTTGTTTATCGATGCTCTGTCCAATTTCCGGTTAAGTTTAAAGGAAGTGTTTAAAGCAAACATAATTAATGGTTTAACACTTTAATAATCTATATATACAGTATATTATAGTATAAATGCTTGGGAACCTTCTATACAAGAAACAATGGGGGGGAGGGGTGTAAAGAGATATTTATGTGGTTAGTTAGTGTCAAGGGGGGGGGCTAAACCATATGGATAATTCAGTAAGAAAAAATCAAACAAATCAGTTATTTGATTTGTAAATAACAAAGCATTCTTTATCAGATAATTCATTTATACTTTTTTAGATCACACTGTACAGAGTACAGTGTACAATGCACGGTGTACGGTGAACGGTGTACAGTGTACCAGTGTACAGCCGACCAACATGTGATCGTTACAAGGAAAAGCACAGGAGAAACCTCAAATTAAGAAGGACAAGACTAAAAAGAGAGTAAGTTTTTCATAATCAACAGGTAAAAAGAGAGTAAGTTTTTCATAATCAACAGGTAAAAAGAGAGTAAGTTTTTCATAATCAACAGGTAAAAAGAGAGTAAGTTTTTTATAATCAACAGGTAAAAAGAGAGTAAGTTTTTTATAATCAACAGGTAAAAAGAGAGTAAGTTTTTTATAATCAACAGGTGAAAAAAACTTATTTCTGAAAAACCTGTTAATACCATATTTTGACGTTTAAAAATAATTTCGATGTACACACAGTATTTTTAAAATATACCAGGTCTCAGCCGAACGCCGCGGCTAGGACCAAACGTTGTGGTAACAGATCTTATGATAATTATCGATGTCACAAAATCTTGTAGCATCTAAAATGTTAAATTTTTTGATAGAGCAAAACAACCCCATTAAATAAAATTTTCGACCAAAAAAATTGGGAAATTAGTTCTGTTTTATTAATTTTTACTAGAATTAAATTATCATAGAGCCCAAGGAGTTTAGCATTCAACATTTTACAAGCAGAAAGAAGTCAGTCAAACAGTTTAATTGGTTCTATTTAAGACCACAGCTTGTGGTAATATTTAGCCAAAAAATTACACAAATATAACCTCCCCCCCCCCCCTCAAACAGTTTAAGTGGTTTGTGTGTAAAGTCGTAATTGTTTAATATAAACGATACCTATACTTAATATGATATGTTCAAAATACACATAGAAACTAATTTATAATCTTTTGTTTTGAATTTTTTGTGAATATTTCCCAGAGCAATTATCTAGTTTTACAAAACATAATAATGCAGTTTAACGAGTAGGACTGTTCAGGACAGAATACCACATGTATAGAAGAAACATATGATACTATTATAAATGTATAAAAAGATACCTAGGTACATAGGTACATAGGTAGTAAGGTACATAGATACAAAGATACGTCGTTAAACAGATATGTATATACATGGTTATACATTTTACATAGATATGTAGATACATAGATGCTTATATACATAGTAGAGATGTCAACGTTTTGATTTTTGTAGATTTTAGCTTTCGTTACGATAGTGTTTATCAAAAGTATTAACGTTAGAAACGTTACGTTGCACATTATGAAATTTTATGGCATAGAGTAACGTTACGTAATGAATTTTCTGCACTTGAATACCTTATACAACGTTAAGCTTTAGTAAATGTTAGTGAAAAACAGTAAGCTCCGTTACGCTTTTGCATTTCCCGTTTTAAAAAACTTTCCCAACGTTGCGTTAAAGCTTATGTAATATAACCACAATTTTTTAACGTTCCACTTTCATGCAAGGTAAATATTTTCAGAGACCTTACGTTACACTTTCACTTGGTTTACGATCTAAAAGATGACAAACGTTTTGCTTTACTAAAACGTTATTGGGGCATAGTTCTGAACGTTACAATTCATTTCAGTGCAAAGAATATTTTTTGTTAACGTTACGTTTTATCTTAACTTTTCCAATATAAACTCTTTTAATTACGTTTAGAAATTTACTAAAATGCACCTTTTCTTACGTTACGATTAATCGAAACGTTATTGTGAAAACTTTTTTGTTACACTTTTTTACAACTGACCATCAAAACTGTTTATTCGTTTCGTTTCTAAGAAAGATTTGAAAAAATGTTCTATACGTTGCGTTGTATTAAAATGTTTAAGCCTTAATATTTCTTCTTCTTTAAAATAATTTTTGTTTCTAAATGAAAGCATTGCAAGATTTTTTACGTAATTACTTTTTTACTCACCCTGTATGTTGCTGTTGTATAGGTAACCTTTTTAGAGAATGTGTAGAAGAATATGCATTATGCATAAAGATGTTATAATATTATTATTTTTAACGATTTTAAAAATTTGTGAATGAAAGTTTTAAGCATAAGACTTTCAACTCAAAGTGTGTCTTAAAGGGACTAGAGACGTATTTTCAAGTGACCTTTCATTTATGGGGTGGCATGTCCATTGTCTAGTAGGGGTGATCAATATTGGAATAGAGCCAACCGCCCACCGGAAGTCGCTGCGTTTTCACTTAAAAAAAATATTGCAATCAAAATTTTTTTTCAAAATTTGCGATTTGACGATTTAATTCACCGTAAGGCCACAACATCATGTTATACATAATTTTCTTGGAAATTCAAATTCAAATCTGAAAAGCGTTTAAAAAAATTGAAAATTGAGTGAGCCAGAGCTAAAAAAAACTCATCAAAAACATTAAAAAGTTTAAAAACCGGAATTTAGTACCGTTATTTGGCCATAACTTCTTTAGATTTTAATATATTTAAAAATGGTTTTCGAATCTGAATTCAGCATGAAATTTCCAAGAAAATGATGTATCATATTTATTTTTTGAAATATTTTTATAGGCCTGACGGCGATTTCTCCAATATTACATTGTCAATTCGAAACCTTATGGTCAATTTTGAATTTTTTTTTGATTACGATATTTTTATTAATTTAAAACGCAGCGACCTCAGGTGGGCGGCTGGCTGAGTTCTAAAAAAAGGCACAAATCAATCACCCTTAATGTTCAGCATACAATTACAAGATAGGAAAACACTCCTAATTTTCAAATCATCAATTAGATAAAGGTATACACGTTATCATTGGGAATCGAGCATGGCCCTCTTTAAATGGAGGATCGCTTGAAATTATCATTGAAACCACTTTTGCATGTGGAACAGTAGTTCTAAATTATTTTAGATTAGTTTAGGGTTAATTTTTTCTTTTTTTACGCAATGCAGACATCGGGTTGCAAAGATATATTAAATGAAAATTAGAGTTTTTGGCATAAACTCATTTTCTTTAAACTTGAAATGAAAAACCATTAGTCTTTGCTGTCATAATCATCAGTCGAATCTCTTATATTGATATATTAGAGACGTTTTGAAATGTTTTGATTGGCAGAATTATTGTTACACTTTTGAAATTAAAACTCATCCCTCTTAGTCTAACGTTTTTTGAATAATATTTTCATCAGACATATATCTAACGTTAGACTAATCAATTTAGTATTCAGAGAAAATTATGAAACGTTTTGATTTACAGAATTTTACTCTGTAAAAAAAAAAAATTCGTTTCCTGATTATTAAATAATAACACATTTCTGCAACGTTGAATTTTTCATTACACTATAAGGGAAAACGTTTCAAAACGTTTTCATAAACAGTAATGCATTTTTCAGTTATACAACGTTACACTTTTTATAAGTTGAACTTTGAAATAGAAATCCTTTCGTTACGATATTCAATCAAATCACAATTAGTTTTTCAAACGTTAGACTTTCAAACTCCCCTTGGAAACAAAACATTTCTTCACGTTATGGTCAAAAAAGATGTAGATATTAGAAAAATAACGTTACATTTCCACAAAACGCTAACGTTGGGGGTATGTTCCTCTAACGTTAACGTTTAACGTTAACGTTAGGTATGAGCTTCTATAACGTTAACGTTTAACGTTCACGTTATATAGAATATATCCAAACGTTACACATTATTGTATCGTAACGTACAAAAACGTACATTTTACGTTACGTTACACTATCGTTGACATCTCTAATACATAGATACTAAACAAACAAACATATACATAGGTACGTAGATACATAAACACACAGATACATAGATAAATAGATGGGTATAAACATAGATACATAGCTACTTAGATATACAAAAACTAAATACAAAGACACATCATAATTTATTTCAACAAGGAAGCAGCCCATTTATCACAAAGAGCAATATGATTGTATTATTGTGTTAAAACAGCTGGTCATTTGTATTGTCATTTATATGGTAGCTGTGTAGTTTTAAAAATACTTCTGATAATTTAAAAAGCTAATTTTGACTTAATTTCAGTTGTTTTTCATAAAAAAACTCATTTAAAGTTTGATACATATTTTTATTCATTGTGTTTTACTTTTTGCACTTTGCACATTATAAAGTTGAAAATTTCATAAAAAAACATGTAGTCTTGTATTAAAGATTACAATTGAAGAATTAATCCTTTGTATAACACATAAATAATAACTATACAGGGTTACCCAAAAAAGATGAGACTTCAGAGACGACTGTACGGAATTGTTAATTTCTTTATGTTTAGGATTCCCTGAAACTGTAAATTTGCTTCTTAATTTGCGCAATCATTAAAAAGGTTAAAAAAATTATATTCATGTCATGAATACTTAATTTAACCTTGTAAATGTCATATTTAAAGTGTTTTATGTCGTTTTTACAGTCTCATTCTTTGTGGGTAACCCTGTAGAATATATATTATCATACATCTATTGAAGAAAAGCATTCAAGCATGATATTGCTCCATCTAAACTTTTAATAACTATTTTTATTTTCTGATTTAGATAAGAGATCCCTGTTCTTTGACAGAGTGAGGACAAAAACGTTTCTTGATAGATGTCTTATTCCACAAAATTAAATAAATGGCGTCTCTATAATAAGGAAAAGAGTTCTGACAGTATGTTGTTGTTACTGTTAATATCAGCGGCAGTTGCAGTTACAGGTAAACCGGCATAAATTAATTCATGATAAGTTGTATACGAGTTGTATGAGTTGTATGTGTTGTATGAGTTGAATGAGTTGTATGAGTTGAATGAGTTGAATGAGTTGAATGAGTTGAATGAGTTGAATGAGTTGAATGAGTTGAATGGGTTGAATGGGTTGTATGAGTTGTATGAGTTGTATGAGTTGAATGAGTTGAATGAGTTGTATGAGTTGTATGAGTTTTATGAGTTGTATGAGTTGTTTAAGTTGTATGAGTTATATAAGTTGTATGAGTTGTATGAGTTGTAAGAGTTGAAAGAGTTGTATGAGTTGTATGAGTTGTATGAGTTGAATGAGTTGAATGAGTTGTATGAGTTGTATGAGTTTTATGAGTTTTATGAGTTGAATGAGTTGTATGAGTTGAATGAGTTGTATGAGTTGAATGAGTTGAAAAATAATTTACCTTTAACAAGTTATCAATTTTTAACAACCCGAAAAAGAGGATTTTTAAAATATAGTTCTTATATGGATTTTTCTCCATTTCAATGTTTACGTTCTAAATGTATCTTTTATTTTCTCCGCTTTCTTGATCTCGATGGAGACGGCGGCGGAATTTTGATATTAGTAAAGGGTTACTCCTAATAAAGGGTTATGAGACAATAATATGAACTAGTCCTTAATATAGCTTTAGATCGAATATTTAATATTTTTTTGATCAATATTTTCACGAACTTATAGTCGACTGACTAATCGATTTGTGCTTTTATCCCTAAGAATCGGCAGTGAAGCTACCTACCCCGGAAGTGGACTCCAGTGGCGAAGGATCGTCAAGAACGACAGTTATTCAGAAATTGGAAAAGTTAGTTAAAGAAAATAAGGTTGAACTATTTAATTCAAACATTTAAAACAGGTCTTTTGAAAAATGAAATCTAAGAAAAACCTGATTAAGATTTATTTATTTCCAAAGTTTAAAAAAGGAAAAATATTTTTGTGAACTTACGTTTTGAGCTTTGAGCTTTGTTTAAAAAATATTCTCCAAGGAGGCGAAAGAAATTGATTCTGATCTTAAATCTGAACCTACCAAGCTTAGGGAACAACTGATTAAACTTGGTGAGTTTAAACATTCGTCACATTTATTTTATTGAAAGCAGTAGAATATACTGGTTAAACTTCTGGTTTAATTGTGGTTTTCACCAGGATGGGGAAATAAAAACAAAATGTGGTACTGCCGCGGTTTTGCAGGGTGTATCAGTAAAAAAGAAAAATTATTGAAAAACATCAAAATGTCGTTTTTAATAGTCAATAACTACCGTAAAGAATTGAGTCTTTGCCACAAAAATTGTCTTATCTCTATATCAAAGATGTCCACTATCAGATTGCAAAGATGTAAGGATTAGAAAATTTGTAGTTGTGTCAAAAACTCAATTCCTTTGTAGCATACATGAGAAGAATTTCAATTTTCATTCCTTTACAGAATATTGATTCAATTTTTGTGGCGTTGAAAAGTGTAGACTGTAGATCACAATGAGAAATCCTGAAGGATTAAAATAACAGCATATTAAATAATGTCAATATTTTCATTCGTTTACAGATAGATTTAAGACATTTAAACATTAGCACACAATTCCCATGTTTATTGGAACTCCCTGCACAGTATATTTGTGGTAATCTAATGACGGTTTCATGGTAACATTTATTCAATTCAATTAGGAAACAGTTTCTCTAGACAGTGTTCGGCACAGTTTTTATAAACACACAGCTGTTTTTATAAACACACAGCTGTTTTTATAAACACACAGTTGTTTTTATAAACACACAGCTGTTTTTATAAACACACAGCTGTTTTTATAAACACACAGCTGTTTTTTCAAATTTTTTGACATCGTTACAACCTTAGAATATTTGGTTATATGATTAAAAAATTGAGTTTGTGGCAAAAAGTTTTTTCCTTTACATTCTTAAATTTCCGCAACTTTGTAAGACTTTTATGGAACTAAACTGATCCGGAAAATAATTTGAAACTATAATTCTAGGATATACTCCGGGATTAGAAGGAGCAGAGAAGAAACAAGAATTCGCTCAACTGGATAAAATCATTAAAAAAGGACAAAGGGAAGAACACTTTTTCATCGTAATATCGTAAAGTTTTAAAGTTTTGGGTTTCTTTACGGGACCTGGACATTTAAACAATGTATTCAGAGCATTAAAGGGACTATACGGGACCTGAGCCGGCGATTTAAAAAATTCAAGAAAATACGACTCGGGTCTAAGCTGTTGTTGAGCCTTATTTACGGCTCGGGCTTTCGAATTTAAGTACGGGACCTGGGCATTTAAACAATGTATTCCGAGCATTAAAGGGACTATGCGGGACCTGGGCCTTTAAACAATGTATTCTTAGCATTAAAGGGACTGTACGATACCTGGGCATTCAAACAATGTATTCTTAGCATTAAAGGGACTGTACGGGACCTGGGCATTTAAACAGTGTATTCTTAGCATGAAAGGGACTGTTAGCATAATTTCAAGTGACCCTGTATGGAAAGATGGCAATGTCCCATTCACAAGGTTACAAGCTTAAAAGCTTTGTCTGCTCTAGTATGAATAAGACATCAATGTTTAGCATTTTGAAAACTGATCATTTTTAATTTAAGTTTCTCTACAAAATCGACTTACGTATTTATACTGCAGGAATTGTCAATTTTAAACACTTTTATGTTAAGAAAAAATATTTTTCACATTTTTGAAAAGATAAAGGTTTCAAGGATACCGTTGTAAATCGGGCATTGACATCTTTGCGCGGAGGATCACTTGAAATTACGCTTACAGTACCAGAATCATGTTATGTTTTTGGTCTACTTTGTGTGAAGGGACTTAAAAATTTATTCATGTTCAACATAAAAAATTAATAATCTCAAATCGAGCAGCTTACAATTTCAGTTTATCAAGATATGAAGAAATTGTAAATCGTTGATGTCACTCTTTAATTAGTATATTGAAGTAACGTTGTTAAACCCTTTAATATCTGCGAGTTAAAGTACGTATTGAATATTAAGTAACGCTCTAGTAAACTTTAAACTCGTAATTCTAATTGATTAGGTTTGATGTAATCTCAATGTTACATGTGGTTTCAAGTTAAATATTTCTGCTGAATTAAACAGATAACTATTCTTATTATTTCCAAACTCTAAATGTTAAAAGTACGATTATTTTATTTATTTTATTTTTTTCTTTCTTTTACGATTGTATTTCTTAAACTAAGCTTTCAGTGCGAACTGCAATAACTTGCAATATAAATAGATGTTTTAAAACAACTAAAGTGACACTCAACTTGAAAATTCATAAAATAAAGGTTTAAAGGTCTTCAACTGAATACAGATTGCAGTTGGCGAATCAACTTGGAAAAAGACAAAGGCTAAGGGATGGGAAGAAACTGAGAAGTGGGAAGAAAATATTGGGAAGATTAAGAGGAAATAAAGTTAAAGGGGGAAATAAGTCACAACGTGTTGTTATACCAGGTATCATTATCATAATCATCATAATCTTTATCATTATCATTATCATTATCATTATCATTATCATTATCATTATCATAATCATAATCATTATCATTATCATTATCATTATCATTATATTATAATTATCGTTATCGTTATCGTTATCGTTATCATTATCATTATCATTATCATTATCATAATCATAATCAAAATCATAATCATAATCATAATCATAATCATAATCATAATCATAATCATAATCATTATCATTATCATTATCATTATCATTATCCTTATCATTATCATTATCATTATGATTATCATTATCATTATGATTATCATTATTATTATAATTATAATCATCGTTAACGTTATCGTTATCGTTATCATTATCATTATCATTATCATAATCTTTATCAGTATAATTGTTAATATCATTATCATTATTATTATAATTATCATTATCATTATCATTATCATTATCATTATCATTATCATTATCGTTATCGTTATCATTATCATTATCATTATCGTTATTGTTATCATTGTCATTGTCATTTTCATCGTCATTTTCATTTGTTATTGTTATTATTATATTTTGTTATTCTTATTGTTAAATTTTGTTATTGTTATTGTTTTTGTTATTGTTTTTGTTATGTCTTATTGTTATTGTTATTGTTTTTTTTGTTTTTTATTGTTATTGTTATTGTTATTGTTATTGTTATTGTTATTGTTATTGCTATTGTTATTGTTATTGTTATTGTTATTGTTATTGTTATTGTTATTGTTATTGTTATTGTTATTGTTATTGTTATTGTTTTGTTATTGTTATTGTCATTGTTATTATTATTGTTATTGTTTTGTTTTTGTTTTTGTTATTGTTATTCTAGTTTATTTATTTCCAGGAGTTGAACCTCTCCCTGCTGTAGTCCCCTCCTCCGTGGTAGTTGTAGAAGAGTATGATGATGAGTATGAAGACTACTATGATGAGTATGAGGATTATGTGGAGTATGAGGAATATGATGTGCTCCTCCGAGAGGTTTCTCCTAAACACGTCGTCGCCGGAGGCAAACATAGACATGATTCTCAGTATCATGATCATAAACCTGGACATCATAAATATCATGATCAACATAAACCATCTCATCATGTTCACAAACAATCTCACTACGCTCATCAGAAAGATCCACACCATCATGATCAAAGATATCAGAATGATCCACACCATCATGATCTTGGATATCAGAAAGATCCACACCATCATGATCAAGGATATCAGAAAGATCCACACCATCATGATCAAGGATATCAGAAAGATCCACACCAACATGAGCATGGATATCAGAAGCAACCAGAATATATTCCAGAAAGTGAATATCACCAAAAACACCAGGAAATCATTTAATATTCAAGATTAAAAGTGTTTACGGAAAAGGACTAAAAATGCAATTTCAAGAGACTCTCCACATGTAGAGTACCATATGCTCGATTAACAACGTTACTCTAGAATAATAACGTCTTCTATATATTTGATATGAGAGAAATGTTTAAAGGATATCTTTGTGAATGGGGCAAAATTAAGTCTATTTTAAATGGCGGGTTACTTGAAATTAACGCGACTTTAAAGTTTAAACAGAATTGTAAAGTGCTCTGAGATGGAATTTAAAGAATTCGAGCCAGGGTTTAAATCTGCCAAAACCCGGTTTAAATTAAGCGCCGGCTAAAATCTTGAAACATTTGATACAATTTTAAGTGGAACCAACCATTTTTAAACCGCGGCTTAAAGTTAAACCGCCGCTCAAATTCTTTGAATTCGGCCACTGATCAACTAAACATTAAAAAGTTTAAATAAATTTAATGATTTGTTCTAGGGTACGTAGTTGTTTTTAAACTAACAGTTCCTCCCAGGTTCTAGTTATATCTGGCATCTCTAGTATTTAATTATCGGTCTCATTTTGCCAAAAACGAATGGCATTTATAAGTTTTAAACTCTCAGGGTTTGGATGAAATCGTATGATAGTCTAAATCGAGGTAGGTAAGGCCATAAGAAAATTCCGTAAAATACAATGAACTCATTTTCGGTGGCTGTAAATTGTATCTTGGTTGTTTGTAAACAAACTCAACCGAAACTGGACTTGAACCGAAAAATGAAATTGAAACCAATACTCAACCTTAGTCGCAGTCCAGAGTTATATAATGACACTTATAAAGATAAAACGGAGCGAGGTAAATAAATTCATTAATTTTAAAATATTTTTCAAAAACCCTCTCCTCGATCCTCTCATGTCGAAACTGTAAATTATTGTTTCGACCCAAGCCTAATTAAATTAAATGTAAACATTAGCTACCGAAACCGAGTTTATAGTGTATTCCAGAATAAATTTGTGTGTAGTAAATAAATTCTTTTATGGCCCACTGTTGTTCTAAACCAAGGAATTGAGTTGTTGCCACAAACTTAAATGTTCTTATCCCTATATCTTCGCAACCTGATTGTGTAAACCTTTAATTTGTCCAACTTAGATTATTTGATATATCGGAATTTATAGATGAAATATCAAAGGTCTACGAAATTGGTTTGCAAAGATATAAAGATTAGAAAATTAGAGTTTTGTTGCTAAAACTCTATTCTTTTTCCAATAAATAACTTTGTGGAAAAGTATGAAATGAAAATACTTCCATCAACGCTTTCAATATTTTCATATCAATATCTTAAGATGTCTTAAGATTTATATCAATATTTCTTATATTTTAATCAGTTCCCGATTTTTCTAAAAAAAACACAATATGCTTTTCTTGCATTAAACAACTTAAGAGACAAATATTTTAAAAATTCATTTTTAAATTTTAAAAAGATCTTCTAACACAAGGTACTAATGCAAGGAAAGTTATTTTGGGGATGTACGCATTTTTTGTACTGCAGAAGTGCACTGTCTTTGGCGGAAAATTAAACACAAGACGGATTCCACATGGAGTCCATTTTCACAAAATAATCTACGAAATATTCTGGTCATTGGAAACTATTACGTGAATTATCAAAACTATCAAAATTAAATGCTTTAATACTCCTCAGATACTAGACGAACACTGAGAGAGAACTGGTTTCAATATGTACGCAGAGTATACACAACCGCAATAAACTTACCTTGCATTAGTTCCTTGTTCTAACCTGAAAGTTTTTCAAACCCTAATGATAAATGGCCCCGCCCAGTTTTATCTTGATGGTACAAATTAATGTCGACGTAATTTCAAGTGATGAACCAGTCATAATTACCTTAAACCTTTGTCTAAGCAAAATGATGGAGATATTCTAGTTTTCTTTCTGAAAATAGAAACTAGTGTCTTGCAGATTAATACAATAGAAGGAATGGATACAAATAAAACCGGCAAAAGACATCAATATTGTTAATTAGAAAAAGATTAAAATGGTTCCGTTGTGACTAGGGCTTATAACTTAAAGAACGGTCACTTAAAATTACGTGTACAGTCCCTTTCAATATCAAAACGATCTCATTTAATTTCTCAAGAGAGGTTGACCAATATTTTATTTCAATTCCTATAGAAACCCCAGTCCTGATAAATGATCTGCTTCAACTTTCTCCATTTTGTTTTATTTTCCTTAAAAAAATCCGATTATATAACATTTAGTTGATTATATAGATATATTATATACTAGGCTTTTAACCCTTTGTTATTAACAATTTTAGCTTTAAACTCTGAATATCGCCATTTTTAATCGTCAGAAATTTTTGCGGATTTTTCTGTTGATTCCCTGGGATTTTAACGTTAATTAGATAGAAACAAACAAGCAAAATATGTATGTAGATAGAGAGATATATTTTCGATTATGGGCCGATATTAAGGGTTGGTGGAAGGAGCAGATTCTTTTCTGCATGAGTCAGAGTGTATGCCATGGGTCATAATCACAGTGATCCAAAGGTTGCAAGCTCTGCCGAATTGTATTTCACCCGTTTTTTTAAACACAAAGCTAAAATCAAATTCTTTACAGTATACATGTCTAGCAGTAGTGATTTTGTGAGGTAAGATCAAAAGCTGAAACGAGCCACATTGGACTCTTATGATAAGATGCTTTGTGCTTATTGCCGAGTCTTGGGGGATCCCAGGGATAAGATGGCCGACGATACTGCTTTCTTTACTGGCTGGATAAATGCGGTTTCACTCATTTCTCCAGCATCGATCTTACCATAACTGCCCTTTAAACCGCTCTTTAAACGGGACTGACTTGATATCTCCAGATGAGACAGGACAGACACCCTTTGTCACCTATCCTGTTGTGTATTTAAGGCTGCAAACATTACGCGGGGTTCAATACGCTTTTGGACTGAATCTGGATTGTTTGGCTTTATTCTAGAACTTTTAGAACCCTTGGTTGGGTTCACAGTATACTATTGAAATTAATCACATAAAAACCCTTATTAATCATAGAAATATTTAATTATCTAAATAATCTTTTTATAACATTTTTTGTGTTAGATGCAATCTTCAGTATAAAAGATTTGAGTATATGTATCACAGATGTTTTGCGGATTTCTAAGAGTTCAGATTTTTTGAAAAATATATCGGTATATAACAAAAGCAAGCTCGTTTTTTAAAGACCATATTTGCTTAGATTATTTGCTTTAGTAAAACTTGGAATTTAATAATAACATATGAATATATATTTTAGGTTATGAGTACTTTGTCCATGTGAAAACAGGTAATATTATTATTTTTTTTACACAAATTTAAAACTAAACAGATAACCCGGCTTTTTTACTCGCCATCCTTTTAGATTTGTACCGTAGATATTATGTTCTTTAATGTTTTAGTTTAAGCATCTTTAACTCAAGTTTAGCTTGAAAATGTTAAATGTCTGCGAGCATTATTTATCGCATGGTCAATAACAAAATAATCGCATATTTTACTATTCATAACCTATTTTATTGATAAAGTAAAAGATTATGTATTTACAAAAATAGTAAAATATTATGAAAATGATTTGATAATAGTATCCAAGTCCAATTCTTCCTCAAATCTAGCAATAAAGGTACTGCTTGGTCTCAGAAAACTGAAATATTATATAATTCTGCTTTATGAAGTCTTTATCAAGTTAAAGTGAATTTTATTTCTTTTGGTTTACTTTTGTTACTTTGTATAATTTAGGCAACCAATTCATAGATTTAAAAACATACAAGCTAGGACGTATGGTATCTTGAAACATCATTGACCACAAATAAGTTAATTTCCATAGAGATGTCATGGATTTTTTGTGTAAAATCACAATATTAAATTTTAGGCAATATTTTTAACATTTATTTGTAATTGCTGAATTAATCGAATGTGTATCTATTTACTTTCTTCCTATTCACTAAACAATATCAATCTAAATTACGGACGAATTTTCTTCAGAGAAAATATACAAAAAATAAGAATAATACAAAGGATTTCTTTTTATTGGGACACTTTTTAAGAAAAAAATATAAAATTCGGAAACTGCAATTTTATTCGGAATTTTTTTCAAAAGCAATGAATTTTAACGCAAATATCCATAGTTTTACCAAAAAGTAAATAACTAAATTTCACCTGATAATATCTGGTAAATGATGAGCACACACACTTTTACGGAGAATAGGAGCACCCTCACCCTGCCAGGCTATCAGTACACACTAGGATATATTTTACACTGCCAGGCTATCAGTACAAACTAGGATATATTTATCACTGCCAGGCTAGCAGTACACACTAGGATATATTTATCACTGCTGGGCTAGCAGTACACACTAGGATATATTTATCACTGCCAGGCTATCAGTACACACTAGGATATATTTATCACTGCCAGGCTATCAGTACACACTAGGATATATTTATCACTGCTAGGCTATCAGTACACACTAGGATATATTTATCACTGCCAGGCTATCAGTACACACTAGGATATATTTATCACTGCTAGGCTATCAGTACAAACTAGGATATATTCATCACTGCCAGGCTAGCAGTACACACTAGGATATATTTTACACTGCCAGGCTAGCAGTCCACACTAGGATATATGTATCAATGCCAGGCTAGCAGTACAAACTAGGATATATTTATCACTGCCAGGCTAGCAGTACACACTAGGATATATTTATCACTGCCAGGCTATCAGTATACACTAGGATATATTTATCACTGCCAGGCTATCAGTACACACTAGGATATATTCATCACTGCCAGGCTATCAATACACACTAGGATATAAATATCCTTTGTATTGATTGAGGATTGTACGATATCACTTCAATAACTTTGGTGAAATAGGCGATTCTACTCTTTTGCTCTTTCTATAATGGATGATTTTACGGGTAAATATTCCTTTAATACCTTTACTCCCATCTCTAGTTTGATCCCAGCCAATCCATACTGTATTCGCCCACTGTTAAATTGTCCCAGCAGTTCTAATCAATGAAAAGAGTTATTTATAAAATCTGATTTTTACCTTTAAATATTATCTTATAATCAAGATTTGCTGTATTACGCAGTAGAATATATCTACCACTTGTTCAATGTGATCTAACAAAAAAAGAAATAATAAAGGTTTAAAACGCAAAATTTTTAAAGGGCAGTAAACGTAACTTGTCTTGAAGTATACCTTATGAAACCACCGTGTTTTTATTCCTTTGTTTTTTGATTTCCACTGTACGTTAAACTGTTTTTCAAGAAATGTATAAATTGTCAATTCAAATCTCTTTAAAGGTTTAGAAGGTATATAGTGATTACAGAAAACTTCACATGATTATATTAGAAAACCCCTTCGTAACATAGTTTACAGAAAACTTCACATCACTAACAAACAAGAAGGTTAATATGATACCTGAAGGCTCTAACAGGATATTATAGGTATCCTTATAAAGAAAATCTCATTCTACTCATATATTATAAGAACTCGAGATTTTCAGCTCCCCCCCCCCCCTTCAAACACATTACCTTCTAAACCACCCGCTTCTCCTTCTTCTTCAACCACTAACGTATTGCTATTGTCAGCAATGTTTCCGCCATCTGTAATTAAATAAAAACATTTTGACATCATTATACCATTTTTTAAATTCGTTGTCGCATATATCAATACAATGAAAGCAACTTTCTATTTTAGTTTTGATTTATATCAAGTTTTTTAACAGCTGGAATCACGTAAACATGGGAGCAAAGGGAAGCTGTCAATTTAAAAAGCTTCTCTTTATTTACTTGTAAACTTGTAAAAAAGCTTGTTAACAATCAAAACTTTAAAAAGTCGTCTTTATTGTTTCTTTCCTGTAGTTCAGATAAGTTTACTAAGTTTATTTTTACACTCCAATACAGCTAATTGTATCTTTACATTTGTATTATAGTATAGTTAATTGTATCTTTACATTTGTATAGTACATGGTGGCCCAAAAAATATGGAAATTCAGTGACGAATTCGATATCGTCTTTGTTATAAATTAGCATTGTAATATCTAATTTCAAAACCCATAATATTATTATGTCTGTTGAGTTTATTTTGTGTAAACGGTAAATGGCTATAAAGATGTGTCTATAACGTCTCTGCAAGATGAACAGGGAAGACGGACAAGTTTACTCTGTTTGTATACTGCAATTTTCTTGTTTTACTAAGTATAACTGTATGCAGTCAAATCATAAACAAACAAAATGTGAAATGTGAACATAGCAGACGAAACTCGTATAGTCTACAGCTTTCTCAGTAGGTATCACTATACTAAATCATAGAATAATTTGAAAGACGATATCAAATTCGTCACTGAAATTCCATATTCATTGGGACACCCTGTAGAGCAGTTAGTTATATCTTTACATTTAACTTTTAAAATTTAACAGATAACTCTGTCTTTTTCTAGGATACCTAAACGAACTTTAACCATAATGTACAGTAACTTAGGTGTCTGCATGTACATTATTATGCTTTGTAGTGTTGTTTTTCACCTTTGTACCCGTATAAAGCATATTTAACCCCTTGAAGATCGTTGTGTACATTATCTCTAGTTCTCTCCAACTCAGAGCGTAAAGAAATCAGGTCAGCCTGGAAAATTGAGACTTCATGTAAAAGAGGGTGACCATTTGAAGTACCGAACCGTACTCTGAGCAACTAGACCAATTTCGGGATAAATGTGAATCTCGGTATCATGCGGAGCAAAAAAAGGAATCTTTAAGATGTAAGCTTACAAAGTATAGGCATAAACTTTTAAAGCTAGTTTGATCCTGCATTGGATTTTGGAAGAAATACAGTTTGCTTATTTTATTATCAATTTGTAAAAAATCATAACAAATATTTTCAGCTAATAGAATTTGAACATTTAAAATTAAAAATAAGAAATTATTTACTGATTCCTTGTTAAATGTGAAGCTGAGGATAGAATTGAATAAAGAGTGTAATGTGTAAAGTGTATACCTTAGACATGGTGGTTTAACTACAACTGCTTATCAATACAATGTGGGAGTACTGGTATCACATACTTTCGACTGTTCAAATCATTTAACTGTCACAAAATAAATCCTAACATGAAACATCTATCTTTCAATGAATATTAAATGAGTTTAATCAATAAAAGAGATTGATTCACAAGCTCTTTAATACAGTGTTAACCACACAGGATGTAACTTCAATGACGACCTATTTATGTTGTTTATTTTTGTCTTTTGCCTTATATATTGTCTGTGAACTAAATGATTTGGAAAAGAAAGAAACACTTTAACAGTTGTAACTTGCAGAAAACAAAGAATGAAAAGAAATAACTGAATAAATTCCGTAAAATTGTCTGCATAGTCTCCAAAGTAATCCAATTTGGTCCAGTGCAGTGTACCAAAACTAAATACAGGATTTTATCCATATGATAACAAATCAACCAATTAGCTAATAAACAAATGTTTAGTTATTCCGTTAATTCTATAATGAAATAGAAAATCGAAAAAATGTTGTTATATGATTTGATTAGTTAATTAGTTATTAGATATAGGGCAAAATATGTAAGTACGAAATTACACAACTTTAGATTTTTTTATTCACATTTTTAATTTTATATATCAATATTTCTGATTGTTTTGTATATTTCAGGCACTGAACCTCCTCCATATGATCCCTACTACCAACCCGATCCCTACAATTCGAATCACAATGATCCCTACTACAAACCCGATCCTTATTCGAAGCCTGATTCATACAGTTTGCATCAACAGGATCCCTACTCCAAGCATAATCCTTATAAACATGGAAAGCATCACGATCCCTACGTGAAACATCATGATCCATACAGACCTGAGAAACATCATGATCCCCATTACAAAACTGATCCCTACAGATCTGAGAAACATTTTGATCCCTATTACAAACCTGATCCATACAGACCTGAGAAACAATATGATCCATATTACAAGCCTGATCCCTACTCTAAATTTCATCTGAACCCCCTGGTAAAATATTAGCCTTAAAAGCAACCCATGTATGCGAAGTCCAAGGGTAATATATTTATCCATTTTCTAGCAATAACACTATATTTTTTTTAGTCAGGTAAGTTTAAATAAAAGATTTTAAAATATATTTTTTTACAAAAAAAATTGGTTAATCAAAAAAAAATTTCTGTTAATTTTAACTCCTTTTTTTAATCATCATACTTTAAAATAGTTTTCCATCGTCTTCAAATTAATTCCTATCAAATAGGTTGTCAAGTACAATAGATGGCAACAGAAAAATCGACCAACTGCGCACAACGTCATATGTGTCAAATGAAAAAAGAAAGACGACATGTCCTCTAATTAGTTGGTATTATTTCCAAGATTCGGTGGAGGTAAATGTCACCTTTGTAGGATTACGTAAAAAATATTTACAACTCAAAATCAGATAGAGTATTTTTACTTCTTTTGGTGGCTTAATTTTTTCACTGTATATCTATGTAAACTAAATAGTCTGAGGGAGGGGGGGGGGCGTCCAGGCCCCAGCCCTCTAATTAGAATTAAAGTAAATATTTCTAGGGTTATTAAAGGTTTACTGTTCAATTTCTAAAGCCAGTTAATTTTTTAAAAAATTTAGACTTCTAACTTTTTGAAACACTCATACTTTTCTACGAATTTTACAAAAATTCATTTGGATTACCTTGTTTTAAAAGTGACGAAGTTTTGGTGGGTTAAACAATGACTGAAGTATGCACATTATATCATCATACTGTCATACACAACAACAACAAAAAACAATAATAAAAATACAAAAATATTTTTAACTATTTATTAAAATTGTTTTAAATTTCGTATCATGTGATGACCTTGTTTGTTTACTAAAACATTTAGATGCCTTATTCTTTGGAATTTTACAAAAAGGTTGATAATGGATATCTTGGTTCTTTTACAGTTATTGATGGGATTGCAGAGGATAAGAGCAATTTCCTTGCAGGGGATATTTCTGGAAGTTTCGAACAAGTTCTCAAATTTGGCTTAAAATTAGACTTAGCAAAATGAAGAGTACACACTCGGCTATCCCCGATTTCATTAGTGTCGTCAATTTTCAAAGAATTCAGCCACAATTCCTGCTTCTTTTTGTTCTATGGACATTTAAATCTGGATGTCCTAGGGGGTGGACGGCATCCAGGCACAAAACAAATTCTTCGCTTGTCCCCTAAATGAAAAAATATAATTAATGAAGACCAAAAATACTATTTAATTCATAATAATGTAATGTTGACTTAGTATATGTTCAAAGTATACCTTTAAAGTACCCCCCCCCCCTTGATGGATTTAAAATAAATAAAAAGAAAATATGTCGTTTTTTATCAAAACAAATCACAGAGACATCCATATTGCGAAATTTAAATATAATATAAATGTTATCTCACAAAACACTTTGCAACAGATAACTTACATAAAATGTACGAAAATTTGTGAATTTTTAGTTATTATGAACAAATGAATATATGTAAAAAATCAAAATTTGAAAAATCTGGGAAATCAATTTTTCGGCTCATGCTCGATAATTAGAGAAGTGATTGTAATATAAAAAGAATGCCTGGAAATAACTGAAATATCGAGATTTCTAATGATTTAATCAAAATTGTTGCCTCAGTACCCAATACCCATACTCCAAATTTTTGTTTGGGACACCCTGTTTATAATGTATATCTACATAGACTTTCCAATAATTTCATAATTAAAGCACCTCTGAAATTTTTTATATTTTTCGTACGTGTTCCCAAAAATAGTAAAAAAAGACATTTGAAAAAAAAATTAAATATCCTTAGAAGACGACATTTCATTAGAAAATTACCGTTTCTTGTTGCCTGTATTTCCCCTGGATCTGGGGGTTTATCCACGATTAGACCTTTCCAGAGCACTTCTCCAAAGATATCATTAAACATTTCTGAAATATGTTTTAACGTTATACTTCCGAATTACAATGTTAAAGGGTTATGTACAATATCAGTTTCAACCCTGTTATTTAGTCTATAGAACGTTAAATGAAAAAGTGTAAAAACAGAAATAAAGAACACATAAAATTGCACTAATTTCACTAAAAGATAAGCACTTTAGTCTAAAAATATCACTATTATTTATAGTTTTGTCAGACAGAAAATTTGAGTTGACACTTATGACGTTTAAACAGCTGTACTGAAAGTGTACGCATTCTGTGTTGCCGACTATTGTACTTGACAACCTATTTGATTCCTATTATAACTTCTTGCTTTGCAGGAAGAACCTGTATATAGAGAGAATGTAGATACTCTGCAATCTTCATCCTATCCTCCACATCCTTCAGCCTACCCACCCCATTCTCCTACCTACCCACCAAGTCCTCCTGCCTACCCACCACATCCTCCTACCTACCCACCCCATCCTCCTACCTACCCTTCCTATTCACATTCTCCTAGCTACCCTGTTCAGAACAAACCAATTTATCCTTCCTATGCAGATCACCACCGTACAGGGTATTCATATAACAAACAATCCGAACATGTTTATCATCCAACCCATCCTCAACCCGTCCTACCTCCTCCTCCTTCCTCACTCCATACTCCAGGTCCAGGTGAAGATATAGGAGGGAATACTCAGGGGTTTACAAACATCTTTGCAACAGTTCCTAGAGGCAAGAATATTAAACAACTATTTCATCAAACCATAAACGTGATTATACTTTTTTTGTATTACATTGGCCCTGAACACGTTTATCTATATATAAATTTGGCTTGTCTGTCTGTTTGTCTGTCTGTCTGTCTGGGTGTCTGTCTGTTTGTATCCAATAAACGTCAAAACGGCTGAACCGATCGGGCCCAAATTTTTTGTGGGACATCATTAAATTTTTGAAAATTTTGAAAATCCGCGAAATTTTTTGTGAAAATCCGCGACTTATTTTTGTTTTGTTTTCCGATGTACACAAAGAGAACATGTTCACAATTAATTTAGAAGATGGGCGCGAAGCGCCCACTATGGCTAGTAATACAAACTCCTGCCAGATTTCTTTCAAAACACGATTTTTATTTGAAGAACAAAAAATATTTTTATATTTTATATGTAACAAAAGGACTTCCAATTTTTCCAGATCAACTTGGTTCCGTAAGAGTCTGTCCTAAAGCTGTTAAGGATGATTCACTATTAGTAAAAGCTTAAGGAAATCGAATGCATAATCTTACCTAACCGATTTTCTCTCTGTAAAGCATTTCTCTCTGTAAACCAATTCGGTTAAGAAAGGTTCTCCCTTAATTATTTAATATATTTAGGCTTGAAATAGTAACCACCTTAAGGAGAGGGGGGGGGGGGTCATTATGCTTATTCATCCAATGGCAAGTTTTAATTGAAAACTTTTTTTAGTCCATAAACATAACACGACAGCATTTACATTTATTTTAAATAGGCATTTGGGAAATTTCCCAGATACCCAGGCATTTGGGAAATTTCCCAAATTCCTACAGGTATTTGACAATGTTTTTTTAAGATTTTGGAAATTTCTCAAATGACTGGATATTTGGGGAGTCTCCCAAAAACCTAGGCATTTGGGAAATTCTCCAAATGTCGGTGTATTTGGGAAATTCCTCAAATGTCTGGGTATTTGTGAAATTCCCCAAATGCCTGGGTATCTTGGAAATTTTCAGTCATTTGAGAACTTTCCAAAATCTTAAAAATATACCACCCTCAAATATCTGTAGGTATTTGGAAAATTTCCCAGATACCCAGGCACTTGGGAAATTTCCCAGATACTCATGCATTTGGGAAATTTCCCATGTTACCCAGGCACTAGAGAAATTTCCCAAATATCCAGTCATTTGAGAAATTTCCAAAATCTTAAAAATATACCACCCTCAAATATCTGTAGGTATTTGGGAAATTTCCCAGATACCCAGGCATTTGGGAAATCTCCCAAATGCCTAGGTTTTTAGAAAATTTCCCAAATCCATGGGTTTTTGGGAAATTCCTATTTTTTACATTTTTGATAATTGCTGTCACTCCATCTCCATAAATCAGGAATTGTTGAGATTTTTCGGGGTCGGTAATCAGTTAGACTTATGGGTGGTGACAACATATCTGGTTCTCATATTTCAATTATGCATACAAACTACCGACTATGTGCTATCCTATAGAACCACATTATTCTATGTGTTATCCTTTTGTTTCAGATATTATTGCAGAGTAAGAATCTATATAATAAAGCTCTTCGCTCATATATATATATATATAATTTTTTTTCTTCAAAAATCGAAATGTTTTTTTTAAAAGTTCGATTTTCAAAAAGCCCACAGGCAACGCCGGGCACGATATCTAGTTATGTATAAAACTTATAAAATATATCTCTTATTCTAAAGTCTATTGTTACATTTCTGATTTGTAGATGGGGAACTCATACATGGACTTCCAGCTCCTGAACCAGCAGCAGGACAGCATGGTAATCTCATTTTTATAACATAAAGAGACAGTAGGCGTAATTTAAAGTAACATTCCATTTATATAGGGTTGTGTCCGATACACAACGGTATAAGCTTTTTAACTTTCACTGAGCAAAATAGCAGGTGGCAGGAAAATATTCAACATTAAATGGCGATAAATTTTAACAAGATTATAAATAGATTCGGTCAAATATTAATTCAAAGGCAACTTGTCTTGAAAACAAAACAAAAATGTTTTCCTTTTGAATGACATTTTTATCTTTTCCCCTAAAAACTTGCTTTATTTACATTTATAACTATTAATAAAAAACAAAACTAAATATACGATATAAAGGTGATTTGAGTCAACCAATTGTTGATGGCGAGGCTTTTGGAGAGGATCTTGGTAAATCATGTTTTTTAATAGTTTAGTTTATATATTTTTTTCAAGTTGTCAGAAACTCAAATTTTCTTATTCTTATATATTTGAAACCTGATGGTGTAAAGCTTTAATATTTCAAACTTTAATTATTTGACGTTATACATTTCAAAATTTGAAATATCGAAGATCTATGACATTGGGTTGCAATGATATAGGAATTTGTAAAACAGTGTTTGTGACAAAAACTCAATTCCTTAAATAAGATGTAAATTCTTCTTGGATCTAATTTGAAACCCCTCTTCTCTTTGTTATAAATTTTTTTATCTTTCTCTTAATGGTTTTTTTGGGAAAAAAAATAAAAGAAAATGTTGATTTTGTAGAATATACTTTTTCCTGCTAAAAAGAAGAGATACTGATAAACAAGTGGACAGTATGTAATATTTTACAAAATAAGATATAAATATTGAATTGTCTCAACAAATAAATTGATGAGGAAAAAAGAAAAATTGCATTATTAAAACAACCCCATGGAAAGGCAGGCATGGTTTAAGTTTGAGACTAAAACTAATTCCACGGAAGTCATTTAAAAAAAATAAAAGATGTTTATTGGTCTCATTCTATTCTAAAATCTATACATTCAAAATAAACTTGCAACCCCNTGGCTAAAGGGACAGACCGGCTATGTAAGGTAGTTAAACTGAGTATGCAGTGTTGTGGACACATTATTTAGGATTCATTTGAGGCATATAAAACTTTTTATACATCTGTAAATCCTGAGTTTGAGCGCAAAGTCGACGTTTAAAACTGTACTTTTGGGTGGATATGTTTTCATAATTGTTTTTTTTAATTATGAAATAACGACGAAAAAAAATTTAAACAAAGGTTTACACCAAACTAAATAGTTGTTTAGGAGCAGGTTGAGAAAATAAAAATTAATCTTATCATCGAAAATAAGTAATCTTATTCAATTATTAGTTTCTAAAATCTCTGATTATTCACAAATATTTTCTTCAGACTTTCTGGAATTTTTATTGAAAAGACGACATTTGAAGAATTTGTAGAAATTTGCGAACAAATTCATAGAAAATAAGAAATTCAATAAAATGATGAAAACGAAATAATTGATTCTAGAATTGATTTTTTGACAAATCTCTCGACAAATATGTTCCTAAACATCTAATTAGTTTACTGTATAATTTCTACTTTTTTCATTGTCGTTTTTAATAATTTAAATAAAACGATCCTGAAATTCATGATTTTGAACGTCGACTTTGTACTCAAACTCAGTAATTATACATTGTTGAAACTTTTATATGTCTGTCCCTTTAAAAGATGTTAAAAATATGGTTATTATCATAATGTTACAAAGAAGAAAAGTTAATGGAATATTTTAAAATGGAACTAAAGATGTTTTATTTCAGTTGGTGGATTTCATCATCATACTGGACAGTTTGGCACATTTGGATTCTATGCTAATTTTTTTGATACTTAAAATTTTATTTCAGTTTAAAAGTTTGTTGTATAAAATGTTTATTATATTTGAAGTAACATTATTTTAACCAGATATTATAAATTCACAGCAATAGTTTTTTAATATCAAGTTTTTGATTATAGAATTTATTGTGGCAACGAAAAAAAATGTCCACATTTTCCATTAAAATTAAAATCGAAATAATAAAAAACTTTAAAATCTTAAAATATTTTCTAATGTGAAGAAATCGTGAAATGTAATTTAGTCAAGACAGTCAAAAAACTACAATTGTGTACAAGGTTGTTTAAAATATAGAAATAAAAACTACAATTGTGTACAAGGTTGTTTAAAATATAGAAATAAAAACTACAATTGTGTACAAGGTTGTTTAAAATATAGAAATAAAAACTACAATTGTGTACAAGGTTGTTTAAAATATAGAAATAAAAAACTTAAAATCATTAGATTAAATTTTAATTACTAAGTGCTTATAAAATGAAATAATCCTAACAATTTGAAAAAAATTTCGGAAATATAAATATTTAAAGATTTTATTGGTTCAACTAACCAAATACAAAGTGAAATATTTGCTGAAATTTAATAAGATAATGATTATTAAATCCCCAAATTAATTACTAATCTGCAACAAATCATATTATGTTTTGTCCACTTCAGACTTGTGAGGATTTTTGGAATAAAGTGCAATCATAAAATATGTTTGAAGAATTGATCTTTTCTTTGGTAATAAGTCGCCAGTTTTCTTCTGCTACTGATATTCCAGGAATTTCTTTTAAGGTAACATTGTTGGTTCAACAGTTGTTGTTTCTGCTGTTCTTTCAATAAAAACTGGCTTAACTCCATTTATTTGTTGAGTGGTTGTTGTACTTTCAATAAAAAACTGGTTTTTCTCCTGTTGTTGTTGATGGCTCTATTGGTGTTGTTGTTTTTTCAATAAATATTGGCTTTTCCCCATTTACTTGTTCAGTAGTTGTTGTTCTTTCAATACAAGTGGGCTTTTCTCCTTTTGTTTCTTGATTGGTTGATGTTGATGGTTCTATTGTTGTTTTTGTTTTTTCAATAAGAGTTGGTTTTTCTCCTTTTGTTTCTTGATTGGTTGATGTTGATGGTTCCATTGTTGTTGTTTTTTCAATAAGAGTTGGTTTTTCTCCTATTATTTTAATAAGAGTTGGCTTTTCTCCTATTGTTTGTTGATTGGTTGGTGTTGATATTGTTGTTGTTAATTCAATAATGGTTGGCTTTTCTCCAGTTGTATACCCAAAGACAAATGTTAAAACATCCTTTAATGTTACTATGCTGTTCTCAAGGACATTAAACAAGACAGACAACTGAAATTTAATTAACTTAGTACATCCTTTCACTTCAGATCTATTACTTTCAACAGCTGCAACAGGATTCATTTCAATAACTTCCTCATAATTGGAAATCAATTGGTAAAATTTCGTGATTGCTTCCTTCCAGATATCTAATGAAATATTGGATGAACAAGCTGTTGACAACCACAAAATAGAATTCTCTAATGATCTCTGTAATGCAATCAATGCAGTGACTCTGTCTTTCAAATGCTCAATATCTGATTCTTTCATCAATTGTTGTAAGTATTGAAACCTTTCGATTGATAACTGAAATATTATCAGATCCAAGGTTGTTTTAAAACTAGTTAACATCTCCACCTGATTAATGCTCAAAACCTCATTTAAACTGAAAGTAATAAAACTGTCAAATATACGATCATCCAAGTTCGTTACATCCAGACTGAGGGAATTGATCAGAGACAACAGAGTATCCAGAAAAACTGTTGGAAGTACCGGAATGTTAGCAGTTTCAATATTTTCAAAATTGAATTCAAAAGCAGCATCTATGCAAATCATCACTGACTGTAGCTTCTTTAAAGATCTACTTATTCTTTCTGCTTTTTGTTGTATTTCCAAGACACTGGGAACACGAATATCTCCAAATGAAACATCTGTAATTTCTCCAAGTGTGTTATATTGTGTAAATGTTATTTGGAAAGAAGAAACTGTAATGTCAAACTGTGCAGCTAATGTTTGTTGAATCAAACCAAACTCAAAGCCACAAGCCATCTGATATTTCTTTATTCCAAAAACTATGGATTCAAAAATTAATCGAATTTTACCAGACACCGGTATTTTAATGTTCTGTCTTAGAACTATAATCTGATCTACAATGGGCTTAATTGTAATTTGAAACAGTTCTCCTTGGCTTAAAAGTGATGAATATTGGATAAGATAATTGAGGAGAGTCAAAGGACTTCCTGCTTCAGAATCTTCTTCATATTCTTCTATTGAAAGAATACTTTGAAGAGATGATAACACCAAATCCATACTAGTAAATGCAAATCTAAATTCTTTCCATTGATATATTCGGAATTCTAGTGAATTAAGTTCTATTGTGGATCCATTGGTGTAATCAACTTGAGCAGCTGGTTCAAACTCTCCCTCTTTATTGATAAAATCAATTCCTAAGTCATTTGCTGTAACTGTTTTACCAGTAATTAATGATAAACGCTGTTGTATTCTAGTAATTTCCTGTGTAAATGTAACACTGAATGAATATAATATGCCCACAATGGATTCCAATACCTTTCTTTGTCCTTTTGTTAATACTTCTTGCAAGCCATTACTGCATTTGACTATATCTTGCGCAACAGTTCCCACTTCTTCTACATCTAATACTGTTGATGANAGGAATGATATTCTGTCAGTTAAGAAGAGCTCCAAGTTAAATGGTGAAAGTAGCTCCAGGTTCAAATCAGGTTTTGGTATTTTGAGAGCTATACTCCCATCAATTGAAATTATATAGTACTCTAAAGATTCTACATTGACTTGGTTTCCAGTTAACAAGTAAATTTTGTTCTGAATATCTGATATCTGAAATAGGATATTTAGAACAACTGATTTTAAGAGAACTTTGATCTGGAGTAAGGTTTTAATTTCCACTGTTGACGGCATTTTCATGTTGATTAACAGCTTTACCAATGATAAAGAGAGCTTCTGTATTACTAATTCATAATAGAATTCAGAAACTTGAAGGTCAATAGTAGCTAAAAGTCCATTTAGTAGTTCGACAACAGATGCAGGCTCCTCAAATTTATCTATAGACTGAGATGAGATTGAAAGCTCTATTGCACTTATCAAAGTATTAATAGCATTCATATTTGATAGCAGTCCTGTTAGAACCTCAATAAGTAACTCTTCAGATGAATCTTTTATAAGATCAATTGTATTGCCAGTAAGTGAAGTTGTTTGCTCAAACTTTGACACTTCAGTGTTTCCTAAGCAGTAGATCGTCTATTGTTGAATTTTGTTAAAAATTTTCTATTATTATTCATATTCAAAACAATTTTTAATACTGCTGTCTGTCTGTTGAATAAGATTTTAGAAGCCTCATAAATTGAAAATTAAAAAGGATTTTTGACTAAATTAAAAAAAAATTATTACCTGATGTGGAAGATTTTGTTGGCACAGTTGATTCTGCAGCAACAGTCGATTTTTCAGTTACAGAAGGTTCTGTTAAATCACCAGGAACATCTTTGGACACTGTAACAGAAGATGTTTTTTCCGTATCAAATACTGTTCCAGTGTTAAAATCTTCAGTGGGAGTAGAGGCAGTATTAGACTCTGTTTCAGCCACAGTAATAGCAGAAGACTGGGTTCTGGCATTAGTCATATTATCAGTATTGGACTCTGTCCTTGCATTAGACACAGTATCAGGTGTAGACTCTGTTCTAGCATTAGACACAGTGTCAGGTGTAGACTCAGTTCTAGCATTAGTCTTAGTATCAGCAGTAGACTCTGTCCTTGCATTAGACACAGTATCAGGGGTAGACTCTGTCCCAGTATTAGACACAGTATCAGGTGTAGACTCTGTTCTAGTATTAGACACAGTATCATGTGTAGACTCTGTCCCAGCATTAGACACACTGTTAGGTGTAGACTCTGTTTTAGTATTAGACACAGTATCAGGTGTAGACTCTGTTATAGCATTAGTCACAGTATCAGGTGTAGACTCTGTTTTAGTATGAGACACAGTATCAGGTATAGTCTCTGTCCTTGCATTAGACACAGTATCAGGTGTAGACTCAGTTATAGCATTAGACACAGTATTAGGTGTAGACTCTGTTATAGCATTAGTCACAGTATCAGGTGTAGACTCTGCTATAGTATGAGACACAGTATCAGGGGTAGTCTCTGTCCTTGCATTAGACACAGTATTAGGTGTTGACTCTGTCCCAGTATTAGACACAGTATCAGATGTTGACTCTGTTCTAGTATTAAACACAGTATCAGGTGTAGACTCTGTTACAGCATGAGACACAGTATCAGGTGTAGACTCTATTATAGTATGAGACACAGTATCAGGTATAGTTTCTGTCCTTGCATTAGACACAGTATTAGGTGTAGACTCTGTCCCAGTATTAGACAGAGTATCAGGTGTAGAATCTGTTCTAGTATTAGACACAGTATCAGGTGTAGACTCTGTTACAGCATGAGACACAGTATCAGGTGTAGACTCTGTTATTGTATGAGACACAGTATCAGGTATAGTCTCTGTCCTTGCATTAGACACAGTATTAGGGGTAGACTCTGTTACAGCATTAGACACAGTATTAGGTGTAGACTCTGTTACAGCTATAGACACAGTATCAGGTGTAGACTCTGTCCCAGCATTAGACACAATATTAGGTGTAGACTCTGTTTTAGTATTAGACACAGTATCAGGTGTAGACTCTGTTAGAGTATGAGACACAGTATCAGATATAGTCTCTGTTATAGCATTAGTCACAGTATCAGGTGTAGACTCTGTTTTAGTATGAGACACATTATCAGGTATAGTCTCTGTCCTTGCATTAGACACAGTATCAGGTGTAGACTCTGTTATAGCATGAGACACAGTATCAAGTATAGTCTCTGTTATAGCATTAGTCACAGTATCAGGTGTAGTCTCTGACCTTGCATTAGACACAGTATCAGGTGTAGACTCTGTTATAGCATTAGACACAGTATCAGGTGTAGACTCTGTTCTAGTATTAGTCACAGTATCAGGTGTAGACTCTGTTATAGCATTAGTCACAGAATCAGGTGTAGACTCTGTTATAGTATTAGACACAGTATCAGGTATAGTCTCTGTCCTTGCATTAGACACAGTATTAAGCGTAGACTCTGTTATAGCATTAGACAAAGTATCAGGTGTAGATTCTGTCCCAGCATTAGACACAGTATCAGGTGTAGACTCTGTTCTAGTATTAGACACAGTATCAGGTGTAGACTCTGTTACAGCATCACAGTATCAGGTGTAGACTCTGTTATAGTATGAGACACAGTATCAGGTATAGTCTCTGTCCTTGCATTAGACACAGTATTAGGTGTAGACTCTGTTACAGCATTAGACACAGTATCAGGGGTAGACTCTGTTACTAGTATTAGACACAGTATCAGGTGTAGACTCTGTCCCAGCATTAGACACAATATTAGGTGTAGACTCTGTTTTAGTATTAGACACAGTATCAGGTGTAGACTCTGTTATAGCATTAGCCACAGTATCAGGTGTAGACTCTGTCCTTGCATTAGACACAGTATTAGGTGTAGACTCTGTTACAGCATTAGACACAGTATCAGGGGTAGACTCTGTTATAGTATTAGACACAGTATCAGGGGTAGACTCTGTCCCAGCTTTAGAAACAATATTAGGTGTAGACTCTGTTTTAGTATTAGACACAGTATCAGGTGTAGACTCTGTTATAGCATTAGCCACAGTATCAGGTGTAGACTCTGTCCCTGCATTAGACACAGTATCAGGTGTAGACTCTGTTCCAGCAATAGACACAGTATCAGGCGTTGACTCGGTTATAGCATTAGACACAGTATCAGGTATAGTCTCTGACCTTGCATTAGACACAGTATTAGGTGTAGACTCTGTCCCAGCATTAGACACAGTATCAGGTGTTGACTCTGTTATAGCATTAGTCACAGTATTAGGTGTAGACTCTGATATAGTATGAGACACAGTATCAGGTATAGTCTCTGTTTTAGCATTAGTCACAGTATCAGCTGTAGTCTCTGTCCTTGCATTAGACACAGTATCAGGTGTAGACTCTGTTATAGCATTAGACACAGTATCAGGTGTAGACTCTGTCCTAGTATTAGTCACAGTATCAGGTGTAGACTCTGTTTTAGTATGAGACACATTATCAGGTGTAGACTCTGTCCTTGCATTAGACACAGTATCAGGTGTAGACTCTGTCCCAGCATTAGACACAATATTAGGTGTAGACTCTGTTTTAGTATTAGACACAGTATCAGGTGTAGACTTTGTTATAGCATTAGTCACAGTATCAGGTGTAGACTCTGTTATAGCATGAGACACAGTATCAGGTATAGTCACTGTTATAGCATTAGTCACAGTATCAGGTGTAGTCTCTGTCCTTGCATTAGACACAGTATCAGGTGTAGACTCTGTTATAGCATTAGACACAGTATCAGGTATAGTCTCTGTCCTTGCATTAGACACAGTATTAAGCGTAGACTCTGTTATAGCATTAGACACAGTATCAGGTGTAGATTCTGTCACAGCATTAGACACAGTATTAGGTGTAGACTCTGTTATGGCAGTAGACACAGCATCAGGTGTAGATTCTGTTCTAGCATTTGACACAGTATAAGAAGTAGACGTGGTTCTGGCACTGGACTCTTCTGTAAAAAAGTTGGAATCTCTAACAGCATACAGTGGATTAAAAAAGGCATAAAGTGACATCGAATTTGTTAGTCCTTGTAAGAAAATGTGTACCCAGTCGGCAGCTTAGTTTGCAAAAGTGCTGTTCAGGAAACATTACAGATTGTAGGGAAAAACTACAAATTTCTGTAAATGCAACATTAAGGGGATCACACTTTGAACTTTTTACGCTAAATACCGCCAAAAATACCTGACCATTCCAAAAATTTTGCCTGACAAATTTTTCTTTAAAAACCATTTTTTTTGGTGTTTTAAAACTAAAATAATTTTTAAAGAAAATCTACAAAATTTTAAATTTCACTCTATCGTTTTTTCAATATGTGAAGCTTACATA